AATATCTTATAGAACCCTTACTATTATAAATAAAGCTATCTCTATATACTTTAACTATATATTTAAGAATCCAAATTAGAACTAAGCTAATATTATAGCCGGAAATAGTACTATTAAGAAGAGTTAAAATCCTATAAAATCTAAGGTACTAGCTAAGAAAATAAAGGATAAAGAAGATAATAGTAAGGAGAATACCGGTAGTAACTTTAATAAGGCTCCGACTAAGAAAAAGGCCACTTTCTATAAGGTCTCAAGTAAATATATTAAGAAGCTATCCTTCCGTTCTTATATTATTTCCTTTTCTTATAGTAGGTTTTCAGAGAATAATAAAGGAAATAGATCTATTAATAAGAAGTATATAAAAAATAGGCTTCTATTTACAAGCTTATATCTTATCTACTATCTATTATTTATATATAAGTAAAAAAGTAAATTAACTTACTACCTAAAACTAGTAAATAAACTATAGCTTAATATTTCAGGATCTAATATATTATATAATACTACTTTTATCTTATATTATAAGAGCTTAAATATAATAAAATAAATATATTTCATTTAGTTTTAAAAGAATATAATAGTAAAATAGAGTTTAATAGTAATACTTTTATCTAATATCTCTAACTAATAAGAAATAGAAAAATACTATAGTTATCTGGCTTATTAAAATAATCTGAATTATTAATTAGGCCAGAAAATCTCTTGCCTTAATAATAAGTAACTAGTAAAATATATATAATATATTTAGTAGAAATTATTACTATATAAGAATAAATATCTATAAGAAAAAGAGGAACTATATTCCCTTAAATATTATATACTTCTTATCTCTACTTTCGGTAGGATTTCTGGAATCGGAAATATTACTCAGAAATTACTTCCGCTTTATATTATATCTAAATTACAAGAAATATCTATATCTTAAATCCAGAATCTTTATATCTTTTTTTATATAGTATTACTATAGCTTAATATTACTATAGCTCACCCTTCTATAATATTAATCTATACTAATAAATTAACTTAAATCTTAATCTTAATATTTAAATATATAGTTCTTACCTTTAATATATTCTATATTTTTTCCGCTTTATAATTCTAAATATTATAAAGGCTTAATTTCCGAAGTAAATAAATTATTCAGATAGTAATATATATGCCACCCTGCCCTAAAATAACTACTTTAATACTAATTCTATTCCTATAATATCTTTTATAAGTTTAAGATTCCCTATTTCTTTATAATATTAAAGAGAAAATAGAAGACGCCTTCCAGATTTGGCTATAAAAGCTTATAATAATACTAGTACTCTTCTCAAATATTAAACGGCTATAAATTATTACTTTAAATATATATAAACAGGCCTCTATCTCTTATAACCTCCTTTAAAAAACAATATTAACCCAACTACCTGTACTTTATTACCTCTTCTTATTATAAGTTTACTCTTATCCCAGAATACCAGAATTATAGATTCTGAGGCTAATACTTGCTCCAGCGCACTTTAGTACTAGACCAAGCCGCTATAGTATCCGTATATTATTACCTCTCCTTACTATAAGTTTACCCTTACCCTAGAATACCAGAATTATAGATTCTGAGGCTAATACTTGCTCTAGTATACTTTAGTATTAGACCAAGCTACCGTAGCATTCATATATTATTATATCTCTTTACTATAAGTTTTCTATAACTTAATAATATTAAATATATATACTAATTATACTTATAAAGCCTTCTTGTTTTCTTATTACTAAAATGGCACTACCAAGCAAGATTCAAGTCCTTCTCGCAATACCAGTCCGCTATATAAACCTCCGATTCTTTAATTATTCTTTATATAGTAACCAGATTATTCCTAGAGATTATTACTAGCTTAACCCTGTTCCTATATAAGTTAAGTATATTTATATAATCCTTATATATATAAGAGGTAATATAGCTATTAGATATAGCTATAAGAGTAATAGCCGCACCTATATCTTTAAATATATTATTTTCCTAGCAGGTAATATATAAGACGGAATATCTATCTTCTATAGTTATATTAATTACTAGTACTAATCCGAGTAATACAGATATAGTAATAATTACAGAGTTATAGGCAGTTCTTCCGGACCTCCCATTCTCCGAGCCCTATACCTAGCTCCTATAGTTATTAGTTCCGTTCCTCCCCTAGGATATCGAAACCCGGTTATTCCTGGCCCTCCTATCCCTCTACCAAACTTTCGCACTTTATAGCCACCTCCCGCTTCTCCTATAGCTACTCTAAATACCTCCGGTACTTCTCCAAAGCTATAGTAATTCTGGCCCAATTCCAGAGATAATTAGATAGCGTCTTTAAGCCCTTCTAAATAATGCCTATAAGTCAGACCTCCTTATATTACTCCTCTCAAATAGGCAAGTAAATACCGTAGCCCCTGATCTGGATCTCTAACTTCTAGTCCTTAACCCTTTACCTTGAATATACTACTAAATATTTCCTCTTCTCCTTCTATTATTCCATACTAAGATCTTTCTAATATTTATAACATATCGCCTTGCTAAGATTATAGTAATATAGAATACAAAGCTAGCCCTAACTTTATACCTATATTTCTAAGTAGTAGTAGCTCCCTAGTATATATACCGAGTAGCTATAGTAGTAATTCTCCGGTATATATACTAAGTAGCTATAGCGGCAATTCTCTAGCCTATATACCAAGTAGCTATAGTAGTAATTCTCTAGTATATTCTCCAGGTAACTATAGGGGCAATACCCTAGCGGGTCCGGGAAATCAAACGCTAGCTATAGCTTCGCTAAGCCTAGCTCTAAATAGGAAGCTAACTCTAATAAATATAGACTACTATAGTAGTAATACTCTAGTAAGACCGGGAAATTAAATACTAGCTATAGCTGTACTAAGCCCCGCCCTAACTAGAGAGCCAACTCTAATAGATATAGACTACTATACTATATTTTTTGGCCCCTCTTCTCCTCCTTTACTATTACCGACTTCTTACTATAATATCCGTAGCTATATATTATTCCCTTGCCATTAACCTTCGGTTATAGCTAACTAGCCTCTAGAAGTATTAGAAATTATAAACAGGAATATTCTTAGCAGTAATCGAACTTGTTCTAGATCTCCCAATACTCGATTCTCTCCTATAACTCGAAGTCCTATACCTGGCTCTCCTCTTAACCCGGCTTCTAATCCCATAGAATTCATTACTAATATAATAGAAATTACCTCTATTAATTCTCTACTACCTCCCTATATAATTAATGCTCCAGGCTTTTATTCCCGCTATAGTAATATTAGATAAAGTATAATTCCCCTATATATTCTGGAATAGTTCTAGAATAAGCCGCTAATCCACCCTAATAAGGTTACTACTATTTGGAAAGTACTTAGAAAGGCAGAATAGTATATTAAGGATATATTAGCTAGATATATTCAGGTTATAGATTAGGGTAAAGCTCTCCGTATAGCTCGAATTAGAGCTACTAACTGCCTATAGGTCTATATAAATACTAATACTAGATTTCAGATATATATAGCTAGAGTAATAGTAATACCAGAAAGATCTTTATAATAGCCAAGAAGTAATAACCCTTTCCTTCTCTAAAACCCCCCTTAATATAGATATTAAGTATAGAATATATATACCCTTATATATATATATTTTAGCTATATTATATTTTAGGATAATAGAAATAATAGCTATTAAATATTTATATAGTATTAAGGCAAGCTATAGCTTTTTAGAAATCTGAAAAAAAGTATTACTTTAAATATTATATAAAAAGAATAAATAAAAATATTAGTCTTTTATACTAAAACTGCCCTTAGCTAAATACTTATAACTATAATAATATATATATAAGCCCTTATTAAGATATTTCTAATTAACGTTTAAAGTTTCTGAGAAACAGTATTATTCTAGTAGTTATTATAGCAAGCCTTTTACTAGAGAATAATTCCTATAGCAAAATTATATATACCCAAATCTCAATTAAACTTGAATATAATAATATTAGGAAATATAATATCAAATCAATTCCCGTATAGAATCTATTACGTAAAATTAAACCCAAAATCTGGGCTAGCTATATAAGACAGAATAAGGTATTATTAGCCAAAACTCTCTAAATCACCTGACTTTGGGTAGTAGTAGATTATCTTGCCTATAATCAAATTAACTATTACTAATAGATAATAGGGCGTAAAAGGAAATATTATTAGGCTATTTTAATACCTCTTAATATTTAAAAAAACGCGCTAGAATAAAGAGCAATTATTAAATATTAAACTAACCTGTCTAAACTAGGGTATAGATTTCAATTTCACGTAACCTTCCCAATAATTACTATATTTAATTTTTTTTTGGCACTAAAATTAAGATTCCTGGCTTAAGGATAAGCGAACGCTATACTAGCAGCTTTTGTAGCACTCTTATATAATATAAGGATAAATATAAATAATAATTATATTAAATTACACTCTATATAATACTCCAGGCTATATTTCAGGATCTCATCTACTAGAGAAAGCCCTGTAGAAATACGCGATTCACTTCGCCCCCAAAAAAAATTGCTTTAAGCAATAGAAATAAGGCTTAGAACTCCCAGAATTAGCCCTCTGGCTAGTTTAGAGGAGCAGGAATGCGGACTGGACAGAGCTTAATGTCACAGAATTGGGTTAGAAGATGTAGGGTGTAGATCTTCAGACCTCCTTTTTCAGAGTTGCCTTTATGGTTCGTGAATAATGGTAACTTTAACGGGAACTGTGATCAGGTGCGCTGTCTCTTTAAGTTTAGCGCTCCTGCTTCTGGTGTAGGCTCGCTTGCCTGACCCGCTGCTTTCGACGACGTCTGAGGTGTTTATTTCATACGGGCAGCAAAGAAAAGCCTGTCGAGAGGACCCGACGTCAAGAATTATAGGCTCGCGCCATAAAGGCATTCGCCATGTCAACAATGCTTTTAGATAAAGGGAAATTGAGTGAACAGATGACATCTGGCTATCCCACAAGAAGTAACGTTCAATTAGGGAGAAAGAACATTTACACTACATCCGAGATCCAAACAAAGTCTCACGCCTCTTTGCCTCCACTTCCGTTCCGTCAGACAGTGCGCCCTTTCCTCCAGGGCATAGCTATATGGTCCTAAAGTACTATCGAGTTGCATGTGCTAATACACGGCGATAACGGACGCAAATCCAGCATCGATCTGTGTCTGGTAACTCTTGAGGGTCGCAACATCAGTGGACTGAGCCTTTGCCTGAAGAGCAGCACCAAGCGCATCGGTATCGGTTTGTAGGGTCTGCAAGAGACTCAGGACAAGGCTATCAAGGCCAGAGGCAGCAAAGAGGCTCTCCTAAAATTTGGTAGTGAGCATCTAACGAATTGCAAGTTTGAATTCATGCAAAATACCTTGGAAGCCAAAGCACTGAGCCCGGTCGTAATCTTAGGAGCTAGCGATGCAACGGCGGCGACGACACTAGTGCTATCAGAGGCTGAAAAGCTAGTTGCGGCGGTTGCGTCGGTGGTTGCCTGGTTAATGGCCGTGTCCAGAGTGGTCTCGTCGGTTGCAATGACCAAAGCATCGGTCAATCCTCCTGCATAGCTTTGGACGGCAGTGGTCAGGGTGGAAAGATCGGTACCAATGGTTGCGAGATCAGTTAAAACTGTTGCCGCCGATCGCTGTACGATAGGAGTACATGTTGCAACAGTTAGACCGAGCACGGCGGTGATGATGCTCTTGATTTGGATCATTTTGAACTGGCTCAAGCAGGAGACTGTTGTGGAAAATATATTTGGTAAGTTATCAAGAGTGAAGACTGGTTTAAAAAAGAGTTAAGAGGGGAGACAACTTAGATTTTCAGTCTTCCTTTATAGTCAAGAAACTTGGACAGATCCCACATGGTACACATGGAGCCGAGGTAGGTTGTAACCAGATATGACCTCCTCAGCACTGTGGCTCCGTACATAATTGTAAGCGCATAGCTTTTTGGGTATTGCTGCGGTAGGAACCAGGGTAATTAACCAGTGAGAAAGTGCCTTTCAAGCGAGCTGAGAGCCACTTCCAGGGCAGAAAGCCTTCACGAACCTTCTACGTGCACCCTCAGCATGTCATCTGGACCAGTTCTTGCCCTGTGTGGTGGCTGGCCAGGTTCCCAAGATCTCAGACCAGGTCTTCGAACCACTCAGAAGTCGAGTCTCATCGAAAAATGGCGGTGGAGTCCGCTAGCAGCATTTGGGGAGGGGGGGAGGGGTGGGAATAGTATTTCTCACAGACTCACAATCGAAAGCAAGAGGTATAGATGTTGGGAATATCATCAAGCGCCGGAGTGCAACACATGCAAACGCCTTGTTCCCATGTTCGTCACGGGTCTATTTTACCCTCACGCTTCCCCATCTTTACCCCTGACACCGTGCAGGGCTGCTCGGATTTATCCGAGCAATGCAGGTCCTTCTAATGCGCTGTCCAAATCTGGCCTTTTCTCCACAACCCCCCTATGTCGTCGTGGGAAATGAGCTACAAAGACTTTTTTTTTTTTATAATTTGGATTCTTCTAAAGTTTATCCCCGAGGTATGACGTCGTGTTCTGGTCCACTTTTACTGTATCTGTATATAACGTCTCTGGATAGTCAACTGTGGCGAGATCAGGGCCAAGAATGGTGACATTGTTTACCGAGTACTTTCGAGTTGACCCCCCCCCCGGAACCCCGTTCTTCGTTGTATTGAGTTGGCCAGAGAGGTGTCCGCCCGGGAGCCGGGACCGAGCCGGAAAAGGCAGCCGGGGCCGCATAATCCGATTCTACTTCCGTTCATACAGGGGCCAGATGTTAGGCGAGTCCAAATAAAGTCGAAAATCCGACTGGGTTCGCCCATAAAATGGTCAGGAAATCTCTTCTTGGCCTGTCATTGGGCAAATTCAATCACCATTTATTCGCGCTCGTACGGAGTACCTGCAACACCATCCAGAAGTAGAACCACACCCGTCGTCTTATAAGTTGAGGGCTTATTAAAACCTTAAGCTGAAGAAACGTCGAGGTCCGCACAGACACCTCCCTCTTCCTTGCATTCGGGGACAAGGTGGGCAACCAATCAGCAATCAGATTTTAGAGATCATATCGAAGCTAGAATCTTCACTTTAAAATTGTTCAATTTTATTACGCAATTTTCAAAGCCCAGGGAAACGCCAAAGCGGGGCCCCACAGATGTTGAATGGGTTGGTTTTTCATGCTTAATTTCAAATATGGCACAGTAGAGACCGAGGCTTGCGACGCATTTCAATTTCACGTTGACGGTAGTCATGAACCCATGGCAAGCAGCATGTGAAGGAAACCAAGCCTCCGTCTTTAATACTGTTGAGGGTCTTCATATCTCTAGTATCATCAGTCCTTCCCTCAAGACCTTCTTTTCACACTTTCTTTCAAGACTTTCTTTCAAGATTTTCGAAAAGTCCTCGCTCACTTGCACAAATTGCTCAGTTGACTCTTACAAGACATCGATTTCTTACCGACCGGAACGTATCAATATGAGGTTCACAATCGCCCTGCCATTCATTACCTTAGTTCTCGGCATCGCTGCCGAACCCATCGTCCTCGACCGTGAGCCTACACTCGTTGAACGAGACGTGCCTACCATCACCAATATCCTACTTGCGGTTGGATCCGGGATCTCTACACTTGACTCAGCTGTCAATGCCTTCACTAGCGACTCTTCCACAATTGATAGCGATTCTGCCGCTCTACAAGCTACCATCGAGAGCGGAACAACAACCGTAACGGGGAGCGGTAATCTCACCCTCAATAATGCAATAACCTTAGCAGCCCCCGTAACCGCCTTGCAGGCTCTGGGCAAATCACTCGTCAAAGATCTGATTGCGATGAAATCAGCATTCGAAGCGAACGGACTTTGCCAAGATATCAACTCCCAAGTGACCGGCATACAGACAGCCTCCCAGGCCCTCATCAACGCCATCGTCGCTCTGGTTCCTGCGGCTGCTCAAGCCCTTGCTGCTTCGTTGGCTGCCCCTTTTGAGGCAGCATTAGCAGAGGGTGTCGCGGCTTTCGCCTCCAACAATTGCACCAATGCTATAACCTCCTCGAGCTCCAGCACAACGTCCTCAAGCTCCACAACGTCCTCAAGCTCAACCACATCCTCCTTGATCTCCACCACAACGTCTTCAAGCTCCACCACATCCTCCCCGCTCTCCATCACAGCCTCCTCGAGCTCCACTACATCCTACTCGAGTTCCAATACAACTAGCTCAAGCACCAAGACAGGCCCCTCTCTAACCAGATCAGGTGTGAAGTACACTAGCGTGACTCCTACATGCACATCAACCTCTCTAAACACGACAAAATCCAGCACAGTCTCTGGCACTGGAGCCTTGACCAAGACGACATCGTCAACGTTGGGGACGTATACTGGTGCTGCCGATCTCAACTACGCCACCAACTCCTTCGGTATACTTGCCCTCGCCGCTGCTGCTCTGTTATTGTAAGAAAAGGATGGAATGGCCCAAGCCAGAAACTTCTGTTCGTCATGTGCGTTGGGATTGCTGGGTCTAGGGTGTTTATGTCCACAGTGGGTGGATTTTCTGATTCTTGGCCCGGGACTAATATTGATGTCATCGGGGGCTTAATAGATAATTTAATGCATGAATATTTATGAACCAAATCGCTCTCTCTCGTGCTTCGCATTAAACCGGTAGGCATGCCGTTCTTGCTCGGGCCTTAATAATCGCCTTGACTTACCCAGCTCACTCGAACACCCTGAGAATCTCTTCACGCGATCTTTGCTTCCCATTTCTTAGCTAATTACACTTTGTCTAGCCTTCGAAGTTCGGGACGTCTCTTTTACTATTTCTACAATACTCTTCTCTTAGTTGAGTATTTGTTAGAATCCGCAAGAACGAAAGGTGTACTATTATAGATTTAATTAGTTGTTATCTTTAATATCTAACACATTCAGCTAGAGATATTATGTGTTTAAGCCGCTTGTTACTTGAATGGCATCCTGGAAAGGCTGAGGAAGAGAATTGATGTTTAATCGCTCTCAATACCGACTCAAGGTCGTCTTTGTTGTCAGAATGTTCTGTGAATCTCCCAGCAGTAGCTCAAAGTAGTACATTTGGTTATTTAGTCGAGTGATGAGATATATAAATTCAAAAGCAGGTTGCTAGAAATTTAAGGAGCGTGACTGGCACCAACACACATGACTGCCAATGGTAAGAAAGATAAACTGCTCTTTCAATAGGCTTTATATTCAGGGAAGTAAGTCGGAAAGAAGTCTCATTAGCTTCTTTAATTGCTTGGCTATTGAGATCAGTGCCTCCCCGCCGAATCAAGCAAGAAAGAGAGCTACCTCGCAACGAAACTTGTCAGTATCAGAAATGAAAACAAAAGATTTGAAGACAGTTAACTGACTACTAACCGTATACACGCCCAATCGCACAACAAGCTTCAGGAGCAATTTCCTTGAAGTCGTTATTTTTCCGCATTCTGCAAATACTAGCACGTGATCCAAATTTAGATTTCCCGCGAAATTAGCGAGACTGGCCCCTGAAGCCACGATTCCATATAAGCGAGCCCCTATAAACACAAAATATTTAGTTTTCGAGAGATCAATCCGAGTTTTTTGCCATAACACCAAAATGTAACCACAACTCGCCCACCCACCCTTATTTTATAGTTCCCAGTAATCAGCTAGAAGTATCCACTAGCCCACCGCCCAAACCCCCATCCGCCCACGCCTAAAAAATCGATTTTTAATCACACCTTCATTATAATTACAAATCCTTTAATAAAGTAACATCCTATAGTATTTTCGATATCCTAATAACTATATATTTAATTTAATCTTGTAGTACGGCTAGAATCGCCTATTAAAGTCGAATTTTTATTTTTTTGGTATGCGGCGGTCTTTCTTAATTTTTTTTGGTTGGGGCGGCCTTCCTTAATTTTTTGTGGTCCGGGCGTGTACCAAAAAAATAAAAATTCGACTTTAATAGGCGATTCTAGCCGTACTACAAGATTAAATTAAATATATAGTTATTAGGATATCGAAAATACTATAGGATGTTACTTTATTAAAGGATTTGTAATTATAATGAAGGTGTGATTAAAAATCGATTTTTTAGGCGTGGGCGGATGGGGGTTTGGGCGGTGGGCTAGTGGATACTTCTAGTTGTTAGGATTTTTATCTTTCTTTATTACTGTAGAGGATTTGAACCCGTGGTGGTGGTCGCTGCTCAAACGCTGCAAGTGTGGATCACATGATTGTATTTCCACGGATGTCTTGTTGTCTTTTCAAAAGCCATAAACAATCATATTCGCCATAAACGATTTATTATTTTTCAATCACCAGTTATATGCAGCTGGATCAATCCAAGAAATGTCAGACTGCGAGCCATCCGGCTTCATGAAAACATCCTTTGGAGTTCGGTACGCTCTCGCCTGATCCGCTGTAAACTCTTGGGTCACGTTCCCCGCAATCCTAGCAGTCAAATTGAAACCAAGCCCCGAGGATTTGTATTCAGCCATGATGGTATAGTTGTTGTAGTTGTCCGTCAGAGGGTTGGAGCTCCATTTCTCGTACCCTTGACCCCGGATACTCGCATCCATGTACGTGTTGATGTAAACACTTCGGTGCTGTGCGTTCCAAGGCCGGCCGAGATAGCACTTTCCTACCATTGCGGGCGCTATGCTGCTGTTTGCTGCGTTTAAGAAAGAGTCGGAAATATACACGCCGTACTTGTTTGCGAAAGTCGTGTTCGTTCCTTTCCAAGCGGTGACCCCGCCACCGCAGGATCTCATTTGAATCCATGAGTGTTGGATCCAGGCAGTTCCAAAACCTGCGTAAATTATCAGTTCGTGATTTGTCCTAAGAAAGTTCAATGTGGACTTACCATAGAAGAAATCTGTTTGGCCAGCAATGGTATTACGGTAGAAGTAAGCATTTCCCAGCTTGCCGACATAGACCTTGATTTCCCATTAGCGATTACATTTTTAATTCCAAAAAGGCCCACTTACGGTATCTTGGTAACTATAGAAACCCGAAAAGTAAAAGCCTGCATTTGCTCTGCTGATGCTCACTGCCAGAGAAGGGCCAGCACTTATTTCCGTAGCCACATTTCTGAAGTCAATGTTGTAAACACGGAAGTCAATGCAGCCAAAGGGCGTATCTGCTGGCACAGGGTACCCGGTATTTCCAGAGCCTGTCAAACTTGCAGCAAGATTTGGTGCTACGGTCAGAACTGATGTGAATGCATTGTCTGTAAATCTGCCGTTCGAGTTGGCAGACGCCCAATACACGGTCACGGTGTTATCGCCCTGTTCGTTTGGAGTTGGCGTTTGTCCAAGGATGGTCAATGGAGCTGATCGGGTAACATTTAGTTGCTCGATATACATCCCAGGCATGACGAGAATCGTATAGTTGGTGTTGTTGTCTGGAAGAGAGGATATGGCTCCTTGGATTGTGGTAAAATCAGCTGCGCAGTCGGTTTGGGACACCCAGAGAGTATTTGGAGGACACCCTGTGAGTGGATTGGGTGTGGGAGTTTGGCATTTGCTGTAAATTGATGTGTCTGCGATCGTTGGTCTGGAGGTGGCAAGGAGAATGGCAGAGATGATTGCCCATCTCTGATTGTTCTGGAAGACTAGCATGATTGATGTGGCCAAGCGATAGATATCTTCAATTAGCAAATTGGTAGGTGGGGGATTGAAGGTTCTCAAACACCATATGAGCTCAACGTTTCATTGAAGTTTTCTGGGAACCCTTCATCAATATATCCAAGGTTGTGGGATGATAAACCAAGCAGCAGTATTAAGCACCATTTCACTAAAGCGCTCTTTCACTCGTATGGCGGTGACAAAACAATTCGTTCTCTGTTCCATTTTCATCTTTGGACCGATTGGTGGAAAATCAAATATTTCCAACTACCAGACAGCTGGAAGATATTGACGACGTTGTTATTTCGTGCAGGATTCAGGTTCGCCCCCAGCTAGAAGTTTAAGCTCTGAACATGTGGGGAATTTGCGGGGAATTTGCGGGGAATTAGCGTTTAGAAGCTGCAAAGAGGAATCTTTCGCATTCAACCAGTTTAACCGGCGCAGGTACCAGGTTATATATGTTTAGGCTAAAATAGTGGCTGTCGAAAAGTCGGGATCATTCTGAGATGATACTAACAACCCCTCGTCCTTGAGAACTTTCCAGGAGAATTAATAGTCCGAAGATCTCCATTCACACCTTGTCAATCGATGCAGCGGCATTCGCGCGCAGGAAATCCTCATGTTCAGGCAGCCATCATGTCCTCGGCTAGAGATACCCTCAGCGAAGCAAGATATCCACTTTTATTTCGAGCTCTTCTGGCTCTAAATGCGGAGAACATTATTCTTGACTTTAACAATTTGATGGGAAAACTCCTTCCGTGTGTGCCGCCTCAACCGCCACGATTTCTTCATCACCTGAATGTATCCTCATGCACAATATCCAGCGAGCTTATTTGATCAAGGACATTGATGGTGCCATTGACATTTCATCTCAAGTCAAATTGGATCCTCTTCTGAGAGTCTCTCATCCTCGATTTCGTGTTTGCTCAAACTTAGTCTTTTGTAACAACACCGAAATGCGTGCCTCAATCATTTATGGAGCCATCTTGGGCCTGAGTACCTTCACCAAGCTTTGCGCAGCGGCATCAAGTTGTGCTCCAAGTCTCCCTCCTCGTCCAACGGTAGCCCCTTTCCCATACAATCATGGAAAGCCTCACGCAGTCTCACCGCGCAGAACCAAGACTTGCTATGTCCATGCCTTTGGGAACGGACAAGACGACAGCCAAATTATCTTCTCGGCCGCGAAAGCTTGCAACAACGGCGGAACTGTTGCCCTTCTCGATCCCAAGTACATCATAGGTCAAGCTCTAGATCTGACATTTCTCCAGTCCGTGGATTTCATCATCAAGGGAGAAATCAGCTTCACCGAAGACATCAACTACTGGCTGCAAGCCAGCTTCAAATATACTTATCAAGGAGCATGCTTGTTTTGGCAGTTTGGGGGCAAAGATGTCAATATTTATGGTGGTGGGATGATCAATGGTAATGGACAAGTATGGTGGGACCGCATGGTGACCAACATCACTCTTCAGCGGCCAATTTTGGTTGGAGTCGTAGGCCTACAAGGTGGAACGTTCAACGATCTGAGCCTTTCTAATCCTCCGAATTGGTTCCACTTCGTTGCCAACAGCTCGGATCTCATTTTCGATAATATGACCATGACTGTGTTGTCAAACAACAGCAATCCTTCAAAGAATTCAGGTGGGTCAACAAGCATTCCCGCAAGGAAATGAAATTTGGCTGACGGGGCTTGAAGATGGTTGGGACCTTTATAGATCTGATGCTATTGTCATCCAAAACAGCTACATCTCAAATACCGATGATTGTGTCTCTTTCAAACCAAATAGCACCAATGTTGTTGTGCAAAATCTCCGCTGCACTGGCTCTCATGGAATCTCTGTTGGCTCTCTTGGACAATACCTCGGAGAGACAGATATTGCAGGTGAGTTGACCTCTTTACCGCTTGTGAAGAGACAAGCAACTCATAATACGAAAGAAAATCTTTACATCTACAACACATCAATGAGTAATGCTGGAGATGGTGCACGTATCAAAGTCTACCCCGGAGCTGTACCGGGGAGCAACTCTACCAGCTCTGGTGGTGGGGTCGGAATCGTGCGAAATGTAACCTATAATGGAATGCACGACACTGGCGTTGATTGTAAGCTCCGATCCTTCTCATTTCTATCACCGTGTTACTGACCCAAGATTTAGACGCCATTGAATTGACTCAATGTTATGGCCAAAGTAATGTCACACTCTGCAATATGTATCCTGTGAGTCGCCTCCGCTCCCTATCAAGCCCAATATTGATGATAAAATTTGCAGTCAAAAATGCTGATCGAAGACATCGTTTTCAATGATTTCACCGGAACCTCGAAGAAATACGACCCAACCGTTGGGACTTTGGTGTGCAGTAATCAAACAGTGAGGAGGCCCCCTTTTTCTGAGGTGGAATCTAACCGTGATTTAGCAGGCATGTCAGAATATTGTGGCCACGAACATCAATATCACGAATCCAAGTGGGAAGGTAGCTCAATGGACTTGCAAGAATGTGGACAAGAGTACTCTTGCTATAAATTGTGTCTGAAAGGAAGGCAGGCTTGGAAACAGGTCGTTAGATGGAATACAGTAACATTGTGAATCTTTTGAAAACAATACATCATCTATAAGTATTCAGCAAAATCACCACCGCTTCCGTATTCAAACGGAAAGAACCCTGAGCAATAGCGTGGGGGAAGTTGTCAATTTCTGTTCTGTAAAAGGCGCAGAAAAACATCTTCTCGATTTTGCACAAAGATGAAGTGCTTGGGCGGTTCAATTCATCCTTCAGGGCTTGCACGACTTATGAAAAGCTGGATTCAGAGCTGCCAGACTGAAAATGTGGGGGTGAGTGATGGTGGCGGTCTCCACAACACCGCACAAGCCCGTTTCCCAACATCGTAATGAGAATCCGAGGGCTCGTTCAGGGGAGAGGAACTTGGAGAAGTCGAAGGAGCACATGCAAGTCGTAGGTTGCTTCCCAGAGGAAAAGAATTGTTATTCAGCCTAATAGATAATTCCCAATTCGGCCACAGTAGAAGGGAGTTCTCGCCAACAGCCAACATTCGTCGGACCGAGCCAGTAGCTCGTAAACAGTGCAGCGGGTTACCTGTGTGCTCCACTGGGTGAGTTTCAGAGTTCAAACGAGGACCCACCAGTTATTTCTGCCTGATATTGACTCAAAAGAAAATCAACTTTTTAATCTCATGACAGAACTAGCTCTATAACGCTTTTATCATAGTTTAAACATAGTTTAAAAAATGCGTTGGTTAGGGGGTTAAGGTTAGTTCCGAGTGTGCGAGCGTGCTTAGGGTTAAGGTTCGGATTAGTTAGGGTTCATCGGGGGTCCGCGGGGCGGTGGGAACCTCCTACTTAGAAATACTTTAGAATTGGTTTAAACATACTTAGAAGACAGTATTTGGGTTTCTTGCTATAAAGATATAGCTAACATACAACGAATAGGACACAGCTTTACTATGTCCTGTTCGCTTTGCTGAAAAGATGGGAAGTTAATACATAACGTGAATTCTATCTGGTTACTTCGAAATGGTTACTTTAAACCCCTGTAATCTCACCCGGTGGGTCCATACAAATAACCAGCCGCGCCGTAGACTCCAACCAAGCAGCGTCAGACTACCGTAATCAAGCTGCATGAATGAGGGATCTGCAATGATACTATTAATCTCATTTCATCTATTTGAACGAACTTTCTTCAGATGCACTGCACGCAATCAATTACATAGTACTGAACTCTGAATGTGTTAGCTGGTGCACGGTCGCAGAGAAGTCAGCCGGGATCAAGGAGACGAAGGGAGAGATGAAACCCACCAACCAGCTCTACCGCACTCACCTCCAGATTCTCAACTGATTTTTCCTCCCCACACAGGATCATATCATATGCTTAAGACTCCTAAACAGAATGGGCCGACGTGCCCATTGGGCTCGTTAATCGGGAAACTTGAGAGGCCTTTAAGGACGTTCTGGGCTTTCTGATGTAAATGATTGGCTCCCTCAGGTTCGCTTTCGAGGCGGCTCGGTTTCGTGCCTCCTTTCCATACGTGGAATGAGGGTTTCTCCGCGCCACCAACACAGCACATGCGGGGAAGCGGCGCGACCTCGCTGATTGGACCATTTTGACAAACCATGGATCTGGGGTTGGCAGGCTAAATCTTTCGTGGGATTACGCCGAATTCTGTTTAATATGGCGAGCTGTCCGTAGCTTGAATATCATTCATCCTTCATAGTAGGCTTCTGATCTGGATTCCTACTCTATTTGAGCCATTCTTTTTCATCCAAATCATTCCAGTGCATTACGTGCGAGTCATCGCCAAGATGCAGAAGGAAAAGCTGGTCTATAATTGGTACGTCGATTCCAAACGTCTTCACACACGCTCTCCGCTGACACACCATTTTCAAGGTATGCCGCTATGGTAGCGGCAGGGTGTATGGTTCTATACGGTTTCGATGCTGCGATCTTCAATAATGTCCAAATCAACAAGCAATGGCTCGCTTGGTTCAACAACCCAGTACGTCTGTTCAAATTCTATGGGAAGAACTTCAGAATTGACCAGCCACGATAGTCTGGAGAACTCTTTGGCCTGGTTAACACGACGTATTCCATTGGTGCTATCATTTCTGGATGGTTCATAGCTGGCCCAACTGTAAGTAGTGTTGCACCCGTCAATCTGCAATGAGATCTAATAATTTTGAAAGGCGGATTATCTTGGTCGAAGGTGGGCTATGGGAATTGGGTGTTTTATCACCATTATTGCTTCATTCGTTCAGGCATTTTCTCCATACCATGGCATTGGTGTCTTTATCTTCGGTCGTGTTTTGATCGGCATAGGCCAAGGAATTGCCCTGAGTGAGTTTCAAACAACTATTGGTGATCACCTCATGCTTACTCTGTTTAGCGGCTGGTCCTGTCTACATCGGAGAAATTACACCTTCTGAGGTATGAAGATTCCCTATGCTCCTTCTCAAATCTGTTTTCTGATGAAGGGGCTATGGTAGAAGCCCTTGACAATTCAAACTAACTTCGATGTTCCTAGATTCGCGGTACTGTCATGGCATTTTGGCAGCTGTTCTACTCCGTCGGCTCCTTTATTGCGTATTGGGTCAACTACGCTTGTGGCAAGCACACGGCGACCCTTGGAAACTGGTCCTGGAAGATGGTCATTGTATTCCAGATCTTAGTTCCCATCATCATCATAGTCCAGCTACCCTTCCTCCCCGAAACGCCACGTTGGTACATCCAACGCGGAAACAAGGTCGAGGCCGCCACCGCTTCCCTTCGACGGGTTCGCGATAGCGAGCAGGAGGTACAGGACGAGCTTCTGGCAATCCGCGAAGCCATCGTATTCGAGAAGGAGGTCATCTCAGGCAATTATTGGGCATTGTGGAAAGATCCAACTGTTCGAAAACGATTGCTAATCGCTTTCGTGCTCAATATGGGCCAGCAGCTTACTGGGCAGGGTACTTTGAACTCCTATTCGTCAACCATCTATAAAAAAGTTTGGACCAGCACCAACACAATCAACCTCATCAACGCATTGAATGCTACATTCGGTATTTTATTTACCCTTAACGCCGTTTGGACTGTCGACAGGTTCGGAAGAAGATTTCTGTTCATGGTGGGTGGAATCGGTATGGCATGTTGTATGCTGATGGTTGCCCTCGTTGGCTTGGAGACACCAAATCTTAAAGGAGGTGGAAAATCCGAGCCGGTTGGCATCGCCATCGTCTTCGGGCTTTTCTTGTTCATCTTTTTCTACAAGCCTTCATGGGGAGCTACGACTTGGATTTGGACTGCCGAAGTCTTCTCTATGAACGTGCGATCCCAGGCCGTCGGCATGTGCTCTCAGATGCAAAACGTGGCGCAGGTTATCTTCAATCAATTCTTCCCGACATTCTACCAAAATTGCGGGCTGTAAGTCACCTCTTTAAACCCCTTCTGTGATTGAGCGCCTGGACTGACAGCACATCTAGGAAATCGTTCTTCTTCTTCATGAGTGCGAATGTCGTCCTGGTTATCTTTGTCTGGTTCTTCGTCCCCGAGACCAAGAAGGTTTCCTTGGAGGAGATTGATGTACTCTTTGGTGGTCAAAATCACATTGAGAAGGGCGGTGATTTGCTTAATGTCGACGATCCTCGCCATGCTGCAATATCGCTCGATGACGATGGACTGAAATCCGGGACTGAAATCACTCACGTGGAGCAACCAACTCAAGAGATCCGTGAGCATTAAACCATGCGGGTTTTGTTGTAAAATTCAGAAAGACTGTATGTTGTGGTTGGTGGAACCGGGGCTGGTTTCTCTTCAAGTCAATTCGATGGTCTTCACTACGATCCGTTGCGACGTGCATCATTGTGTTAATTAAATTTATTTTCTAGGAGAGAGCATCAGGAATGGACGAAGAATTCTGTATAATATGAGAGGGGCATGAGCACCTCAGAGATGTCGTCGCTCATAGTTTCACTGGGCATTTTAGCTTCGTGTTGCCTCCCCTTAAGCATGCTCGCTAAGGTTGTCACATCAACATGAGGGACTCTCTGTCCCCTTTTGACTCCCTCGCTAGCCCACTTTTCCCCTCGGCCTTAAAATATCGCAAAAGCAAAGTTTCATAGCACTCCTGAACTTCTGGCAAGTCTCTTACGATTTTGAATCAGCTTCGGGCTCCAAACTAACTGCAACGCCTGCAAAACTTTCTGCCAGCCCAGCTGACCCGACTTGAGGACCTATTGCGCAAAGAGAGCTTGGTGGATTTTTGATTCCGATTAAGTGGAAATTTTCCACCAAAAGGCTGCTATTGCTCTAGTAAGGTCGAGAAAAGCTCAATATTCTTTCAGAGTTGGCATCCTTTACCAAGCTGATGTGGCTTTCATGTCACGTGCCGTTTGGCCCTAATTGACCCGGCCGTACGATACCGAAGAGAAGCTTGCTGCACAAGCATTGAATATCCCAAGCTTCAGCGGAGGAACGTCTTGCAGGGATATTACAAGCACTGCCCCAGAAACACAACGGTAATCAACGAGTACTAAGGGCTGATCGGCTGCAAAGTCTTACCGTCTTACAAAGTGATCTTCAAACTCTCCTCGAACTACAACGTGGCTCATAGGTAAGTTTGTGACGTATTCTTGTCTCTAGCCGTATAGTCGTGCATATGAAGAGTTGTAATTGAGTGTGACTGATTTGGTGAGGCTGTGTCTTGCGGCTCAGTGTGTCAAAAAATAATCAAGGCTAATTAATTAGAATTGATTAGAATTGATTATAATTAAGTATGATTTGATTAGCTTGATTTTTATTATAATTAATTATAATTAACTATAATCATCACGTGAGAATACAAAAGTATACTTTCTTAGGCATTTTTAAAGATTATTATATAACTAGTAGCTATATTAATAAGATATAAATAAAATCTATAAAGTATATATAAGAGTATAAAATTAGTCTAAATCTAAAATAATAAACTAGTTTTTGTTACGTGGTACCAGTCACGTGGTGCTATTGCACGTGACTTAGCATGTGACCAGTACTTCCTTAGCCTGGCAAATAGCTTAATTCAAGCTCTTTACTACTACTATAACGTTACGTTATCTTGATAATTTTCTTCTTTAGAAATCTCTTTCTCTTTTTCCTTCTTATTTTCTTATTTTCTTATTTTCTTATTTTCTTATTTTCTTATTTTCTTATTTTCTTATTTTCTTATTTTCTTATTTTCTTATTTCTTCTTCTTTAATTACTATAAGGGTTTATTTATAGCTCTTTTATTAGTAGTAAGGAATCACTGAAAATCAAGGAGGTTCTAGCGTCTTTGGCTTCGCTTACTAATTAGCGCTAGGCCTGGTTTAGTAAAGAGCGCCTTTAGTAATACCGAATACAGCTAGCCCAGACCTTATTTTACCCTTATCTCGGCTTCCGAAGCGCCAGAGTCATGTGCGTAATCACGTGATAATTCTAATTAATTATCTTTGATTATCTTTGATTATAATTAAGTATGATTTGATTAGCTTGATTTTGACTTGATTTGATTTGAGTAGGGGTGTCTAATCAAATCAAACCTAATCATTTGACACACTGTTGCGGCTGCAATCCAGCTGAATCAAGCTCAATCCGAAATGCGGAAAAAGACGGAGGGAAGCCTTAAAATCTCCGCCAAGCAACCCCAAAAATCTTCAAACTCTAGCCAGCACTGCTAGGCAGATGGCGATTGCTTTTCGACGGCCTCTGTGGCTGTGTCAGAGCTAGAAATGGTAAGAATTTACATGGAGGTCACGTGTGTTGATGTTGCTCGGGACGAAGCGAGGGCTGCATGATATGGCAACCAATGGGGGGGCAAGAAGATGCAGGGAACTTCGTATACCATACCGATACCGATGCTGGCTGTGGACCACGTTGTTGTAATTGTGGCACGCTATTTCGTATATAGTCCGACGTGATTGACATTGCAGCGAAATATCAGCCCCAATTACTTTTGTTGTTCTTTCAGCACTTTGTTGATATATAAATCAACTTCCGTCTGCTCTCGCTGTACTCTGAGGCAGTCCAATCTCCACCTCCACGCAACGGTAATAACTTTGGTTTTCAATTTCGAAACTCAACAATAAGGTCAATATCGCTTCAATCCAGGGGTAATTTGTTGCAAACTTCGACAGTTGATCATCAACACCAAAGATGGAGAACGGACAATACGGTACGTCTTGTTCAATTCTCCCAGTATGTCTCTCCTCTAATCAATCACAGTGGACGGGAGTTTATGGTTCTATGCTCCCACCAAAGGAGCACCTGTCGTGTGGGCTTTGCTCTTTCTCATTTCAGGAATCACCCATGCATGGCAATGCATGTAAGTCAACAGTTTTCAAAAACCTCAGCGGTTGGCTAATCGCTGGCTAGACATTTCAAATGCTGGAAGGTTACAGGCATCTTACCATGGTCTGCGTTACTCTTCGTTGTCGGATATTCATTCCGTGAATATGGAGCCTACCATTTCGATTATATTGACGTTTTCATCGTCAGTCTCGTTTTCACTTATGCAGCGCCGTAAGAAACTCGCTCCTACTCCTAAGTTCGCAGCTAAGATAGTCAGACCCCTCTACGAACTATCAAACTACTTCGTTCTCTCTCGAATCCTCTATTATGTCCCATACCAATCACCAATCCACCCGGGCCGAGTCCTCAGTACCTTCGGAGCCCTCTCCACCATCATCGAAGCACTTAACGCCAACGGCGCCGCCTACGTCGCGAACAGCTCCCTCTCAAAATCCAAGCAAAACACCGGCAAAACACTTCTGAAAGTCGCTCTCTGCCTACAACTCGGCGTTCTGGGCTGCTTCGTCCTCCTCGCCGCATTCTTCCACCGAAAATGCAAGAAAGCCAACATCCTCCCCTCAAATCTGCGTGCCGCACTCACGACACTATACATCTCCTCCGCTCTCATCGGAGTCCGGACCATCTACCGCACAGCCGAGTACTTCAGCACCTCCTCGCTCAACTTCTCCGACCCAGACCTGGTACTCTCCTCCATCACCCCAATGATGCGGTACGAGTGGTTTTTCTGGGTCTTCGAAGCGAGTCTCATGGTGATCAATTCGTGTTTGCTGAACGCGAGACACCCAATGCGGTATCTGCCGAGGAACAACAAGATCTATTTGGCGGAGGATGGACAGACGGAGATTTTGGGGGCCGGGTATGAGGATAAGAGGAGTTTTTTGGTGACGTTTTTGGATCCGTTTGATTTGTGGGGGACGTTGAGGGGGAAATCGTTGGGGCAGAAGTTTTGGGAGACGCATGCGGAGGGGAGGGTGGTGGCTGGGGAGCCGGTTGTTGATAGCTCGCGGGATCAGGCGGGGGAGGCAGAGAAGGGGCGATCGGGGCGGCGGTGGGGGCTGATTGCGTTGATTCGGAATAAGTAGTGATATGTGGTGAATTGTTGATGGGTTGTGCGACTGGTGTGGAGTCTTATGTATTGGATGGCTGTGGGTATCTTCTTTGCATTGTGGGATTTTGGCACACGTGGGATTCTTTGACTACCTTCTATTAATGATAGCTAGAACAATTCTATGGACTTGAGTTTTACTTTTCTTCCTCGCGGAGATGGATCATCCCTTGCTCACTTCGATGCCGCATGGTGGGTTTACCAAAGCAAGAGTAGCAGAGTAAAACGATCCGAATATATTAAAAGAGCACTCGATCTCGAAATTCTTTGAAAGGGCCAAGGTGTGTTGGTATTTGCACTTGTTCACCCCTTTTCACGTCGGCTATCGAAGTTCAACTTCGGTGTCCCGAAACCTTGCAGACAGCCACAACATCGCCTAGCGAGGTGTATCTCAGGAACGACTTCGAAGTCGGGCAGAAGTGTAAGAAGCTTGGTTGGGTATGCCGCATCGAGTAAACTTGGAAGGTCTGCCTTCGATGAGGTCTCCTTCCCATGCTCCGTTCGGCCGATAACGACCTCCCATGCGCGAAGACATCCTATTTTAAATACGCTGACGCAAATGATAACCTCCAAGTTTCTACACACGGCCCTTGTATTCTCTGATTATTTCGCAGATTCCATGTGGGAAGGGGTAGGGTGAGGTCGAGTGAATACAAGTCTCGGATCTGAGATCTCGAATGATTCGCGTGTCGTTGCTTCCGCCTCGAGTTCTGCCGCTTGAGGACACTTCAAAGTCGAAGTACCAAAGGCTTCAGGTGGCTTCCAGCTGTATACCCAGTATGTTTAGCGCATCTTTGCGTGAACGCGACTCTGGAACCCTGCTTGGGAGCACGTCAGCAGGCGTCGGTCATGATGATTTGTATCGACTTGGTTTCAAACTGAAACTGAACGATAGTCTTGTTGGTCTGCAAGATTGAAAATTGCACGAAGCACACCTGTACTCAAGATAATCATCTAAGGACAGATGGAGAAGGGGAGGTAAGTAAAGCGAGGCCAAACGTCGACAGCTCGATGCGTGAAGCCCGTAATTTGGCTTTGAAAACGACATGTTGTTGTCAGCAAGTAATGATTACCAATTAGAGCCAAGAGGTTGGAAAGAAGCAAGTACCATGTATCTAAATCTACTGAAATGGCATGAAGTTCAGGTTTAGGATTTGCTTTGAAGGAAAGGGGAACCTTACCAGAAGTTTGGATCCCAGATGAGGCTCAAGCCGGGCCTTAGTGGCTTGGTATTCATCCTGATCCTTCAGACTCTTTTTGCATTGAGACCTGTTTATTTCTCTGCACGGGTAGCCTTGCAGCCCCGAAAGGATAGAAGTCAATTTGCGTGGGTTCTTCAGATCTTTTTTAAGCATTCAATCCTGCTGGGGTTGATCTGCGGAAGATAATGCGGAGGTTCCAGAGATTGAGGGGCATGAGAAATCGATCTTGTAAACGCAATGTTGTGGCTCCGCCATTGCCACAGCTACATCTAATGGCGAGGTCAGAGGAACATCTTTCCTCGTTGAAGGTTTCTGAAGTGAACCCACTAGTTTCGATTTCTGGAGAAGTGTTGCGCATTCAGTTGTAGTTAGGTGGGAGCCAGGTTGCAGCTGTTCTCCAGGGGCAACGAAGTGGTGACGGGAGTGAGATCTTTCCCTAGGGAACCGATTGGCAGATTCATATCACGCCTAAAAATGTTCGTATATCGTAAGGTAAAGTCACCCAGCATCTCATGAAGGGCGTAGGTCAGGACACATCCCCCGCCACCCCCTTAAATCCTTGGTAAAACATAGGCTAGTCTCTGTAAGGAACCAGATCGGATTGGCCGTGACCTCAGTAACATTCCAAGGTGCAAGCATATTGGATGCGAGCATTTCACGTAAGTATACAAATGGCTTTCGCGGTTTCATGCTTCTTGCTAGGTCAGATACGCAGGTGGTTCATTGTCATGCGCCAAAGGACCAAATCGAGCAAGCCAAGCCACACTTACTGTTGCTGATTTCTTCTCATATTTTAGTGGTGAGTTGGCTCGGGCATTTTAAGAAGTAAGAGGATCATTGCTGTTCCTGAGTGCCTCGTTCTGAGCCTCTCATGGTGAGATATCTCGCGAAGCCACACTTTACTCCGCCGTCCGCATCGCCTTCCATCATCCTTCTAGCCGGATTCAGGATGCGAAAGCGGGTTTCTCGTTGGCTTCTCCACGCAATTCGGTACAGTAATGATGACCTGTGGCATGTACCCTATGTTGAGTGAGCACGAGATATACAATGGCCTGAAACCTGAGAGAGATACACCATTTCGACACCCCTGTCCCGTGAAGTTAAAAAAAGATTCTAGTGATCGCTAGGGTGGCGTTCTGAACAAGCCGTTCGGCCGCAACTGTCCCAGCGGAATATCTCTCATTTCGGTCGAGCAGTCCCCATCTGGGCTGCGGTCGATTGCCCCGACTTCTTACCTGCAAAAGCACCTGCTCATGATTTGTAGAAAAATATAGGCACGAGTAGAGTCCCGCCGACGCGCCGAAGCCGCGGTGAAATAATCTCATTTTGCGGGAAACTTTGCTGCAACTTTGGCGTGCGCACCGCCGCACCATACCCGCAGTGGCAAGGGCGGGTGCACAGCCCCAGGATCCCGATCCTTCTCGTTTACTATGCACCGCTTGGTTGCAAGCCTAAGCCAACTTCGAGGCGAAGTCGCCCCTTGTGGAAGGCCCTAATGTCCTATGTATGGTTTCATTTTACTCCCTCAAGTCAGCGCATCTTGCCCCCCTCCGGCCCGTAGTTCGGGCTGGCTGTACCGTGTGACCTTGGCATCGTGCTACATCATAAACCTTCCACCTCCTCTATACCGATACATCATCTTTGCTTGCGGCTGAACGATATCAAACCCCACCATCTCCACGCTGCAGTATTCAGTGGGAGTTGCAAATGAACAATTATTTGATGATGGCGACCGGGCATCACCATCCTCACCGGACGTCGTCCCGCTTTCCTCCAGGAATCTTCGTGAACCTGCAAGTCGGGGTATCATGTTCAAAAGACGATAGACCCCACACGGCATCAGTCAACTATGCAACAAGGAGCATGAGAGAAAGATTGTATCGCCAACAGCAGGAGGAAGAATGGCGATTACTGCAACTACAACAACACCCTCAGGATCTGATGCCGGCGAATGGACAGTACGCAGTTCGCCACTCGCGGCATCATCAACACAACCGTGAGCAGCGACGGTTAACGGTCAGGACGAGAGAGCAGCATGAGAGAGGCAGCTCCGCTCCACCAGCTTTGTCTGATAGACTCCAACCTTTCAGTCCCGTTAGCCCTATTGGACCCATCCATCCTCACGATCCCGTCCTCGGCATCACACACACACACAGCTTACCGCCTCCGGGGACAGAAAGGCCCCTTCCTCCACTACCTTCTCGGTTCCGTCTTGGTGAAGATGAATTGCCATGGTCATCGGAACCTTGGTATCAGCCTCAATCGCCGAGTTATCGAGCACCTTCGATCCTCTCAATTGAGCATGAGGATCGACGTGGGGAGGACCCCCAAAGAGTACGGGAGCTGGAGACGTTGCATGCGGCTATGATGACTGTGGATAGTATTCCTCATGATGGATGGGAGCCATGGACGTGGGATAGTGTGGGGGAAATGCCCAGGGGACCACTAAGTCTGGGTTGGGCTGTGAGCAGAGACGATTCGACGTTATCGCCGGTTTCTCCACCAGGTCCCCCGCCCCCGCCACCGTACGTCGTCAGTCAATGGGAGCAAACATTTGGACGGAACGACGGTATACGACCTATGAGTTCAGGATGAAAGATAGATTAATTTGGTCGCTACAACATAGAGGGCCCGCTTTGGGCAAGGATTCGGGATGGGGCCCGGCAGGCATGGACAAATATAGTCGCTACATAACACGGCTTTCCAGCATTTACGGGACGCGATGGAAGTGAGAGGCCACTGGACCCTTGGATTTTTGATGCCACTTTTCTCAATTGGATGCAAAGTAGGAGGGAAATCGTTTCTTTCGAAGTCACCCCCACTCTCGAATCGCCTTCTCGAACATCTCGACGAATCTCGACCTCACGGATTTTGAGAGAATGCAATGGCATGCATGGGCTGAGAGCGGTAATCAGACTTGTTGCGAAGCGCCGGTATAGAATTGTGCACATGCACAGAGTGAGGTGGAGGTTGGGACATTATCCCCAATTCCTGAGTAATAAATAATTCTGGATCAGCACCAGGTCCAAAACACAAAATGTATAAGCTTTGAACCAAACTATAAATAGCTTGACGATCAACCTCTTCTGGGAATTTCCCGTTCATGTTCATCTCATCAAGGCCTCCTGTGGCTTCCTTATGCTGCCCAATGTTCTTGCCGGATCAGTATCAGATCGAGCCCCTGCTGCCCGCTCGGAGTGTTTCTGATGCAACCCGCCTGATGAGGCTCGGAGTCTTCCAGTCCATCTCTCGAAGAGACACATCCCTTCGACTCGAAACGCAGCGTTTGGGATCTTCCAATGTTCCGAGCGAAACGTGAAACGTGAAACGCTTCTTCTCCCCAGCATCTCCAACCGAGCATCGGACGAAACCTCGACCTTGCTGCAACCTTCCCGCGGCTGTGGCGTTGTGGAGCCAATGAAGGGGAGGCTCGATGGGATGTTGGGCATGGGGCAGAGGGAAGCACAGCCTCGATTTGGGGTTGTTGTCTCCCGTCCCCAGAGCTTCGTTGACTGTCGAGACGAAAGGCTCCTACATTAGGGTCTGACATGCAGCGATATCAAACTTCTTGAGCTTCTGGTGGTCGACAGCAGGAGCTTTGCACATGGAGTTGAGCTATGTCCGGCGCTGCTGAGGGCCTCGCAGGCTTGGCGCTGAGTGCGATCAGCGTTGCAGCCTTGTTCACGACTTGCATCGAGTGTTTCGACATTGTCGTTGCCGGGAAGAACTTCAGTGAGGATTACGAGCAGCTGTGTGCTCTGGTGAATGGGCCTTTATCCTCTGCGTGAATCTTGTGCTGATTTTGTGCAGTTCTCTTTGCAGCGAGCTCGGTTTGGACTCTGGGGCGAATCGGTGGGCTTGGTGCCCAATCCGCATGGACATCGTCTACGATATGACAAGAGCCTCGATCGACCAGATATAAGGCCGGGTGTAGAAAGGATTCTGAACAATATCAAGTCCCTGCTTGAAGAGGCTGGGAACGTCGACGAGAGATATGGGTTGACTTCGAACATCCCACAAGGCTCGGAGGTATCGACATCCAGAGGTCTTGATATCTTCAAAGGGTCATTCGAGAGATTCAAGTCCCGGATCAGGAAGCATCAGAAGGAAACCTCTGCTTGGAAGGTTACACGATGGGCAATACACGATGCAGAGAAGTTCGAGGGCATGCTCAACCGGCTCAAGGAGTTTGTCGATGGATTGGAAAGCATCACGAAGTCACTGGGACTTCTTCGGGAGCAGCACGAACGGCTCCGACAGGAGATTGAAAGTATTTCAGATACTCAGAGCCTCAGATTACTTCGGGACGCCTCTTCGCGGCATGGCTCCTCCCAGCGTGACGTTTCTGATGCTGCCAGCCAGCGCTTGATCACTGTTGCTGAGTCATTCATTGATACGCAGACTCTCGATTTCAGCTCTCACTTTCCTGCATCGACAGATTCATTTGTCACGGTATGAATATTTCCGTTCAAATTTCCAGTGTCTCCAAGACCAGAAAAAATCTTCACACTTCACTATTTACTGAGTAAAACTGACTGCGAAGCTGTTCAGGCTAGGAGCCTGCCATCGGGTATTTCAGAAAGTGTCCGCAACGAAGGTCAACATATACCTGGTGCTTGGCCAGGCTCGATAACATCGAGCTCCAAAACCCGCCAGCAAAGGGCATCCGCATCGCATAATCGATCGAAAGGTCCTTACAAACCACGTGCTTCTTGCGAGCAATGCCTGGAAGAACACTACAAGTGCGTTCCTGCAGCCGAAGGTCGGTGTTGTTCCAGGTGTGTCCATACTCAGAAGGATTGCAGTCTCGCGTTGGTCCCGATCGAGGCAAAGTCTAAGGCTGCTTTGGAGCCTTCTATTTACGATTCAGTACCTGGAACATCTACAAAGCCCCTGTTTACACAAGCGCTTCCACAACATCAACGACTATTAAGTGATCTTCTCAGCAAAGCAAAGCCAAGAAAGCCATTAAGCTTTGCGGCAGGAGACGCTCACTATGGCGAGCGACTGGCCTCGATCAAGAATGAGGATGAGAAATACTGGCTCGATCACTCTGGGAAAATCGTCGGGCAGGCACATAGTGGTTCATCAGCTGCCAAACGAATGTTCTTCGAACTTCGCAATATCAGAGCTAGCAAGGTCCCATTTGTGAGCGCGGTGCCTTTGGACGATAGTCTAGCCGAGGTCTTAGCCAGCATTGAAGGTCCACCAGAGACCCCGTATGAAGGTGGTGTATTCTTCATCACAGTCAAGTTATCCGAGACCAACCCGTTCAGTCCACCATTGATGAGGTTCCACACCAAGATATACCACCCAAATATATCTCCACAAGGTCATATATGTGCTGACTACAAGGAAAAATGGAACACTGTCTTATCTGCCGGGTCCTCCAAGACTCCGGTCAGTGATTCGCGCGCACTTTGGTATCCCCCGAAATCAGGTGATACACGATGGTCCCTGGGAGCTCTCCTCACGGCTATGTGCGGACTTCTGGCATCTCCTGATGTGGATGATCCATTGGTACCGGAGATTGCGCAAAAGTACATTGAAGACTATAACGGTTATTGCGAGAATGCGCGACTCTATACACAACGCTTTGCCACTGGACCGCGACCTGAATACCAAGACCTGATCTTTTCTGAAGACATTCCTCCGGGTGATATTGAGATGAACTGGGTGCACTCCAACAATCCCCATTCGGAGTCTACAATTGATGCCGTGAGTTTATCAAAATCGCTTCCTCCTTCGCCCCCAGATCTTTCTGAAGGATGGGCCTCGACAAACAGGTTTGAAGCGACGAGTTTTTATCTAAAAGCGGACTTGTACATGTATATCGATGGGCCGAATTTGGGGAGCTCTTGGCAATTGAGCCGCCGAGATAGATCTGAGACGGCCTTAGAAGGACAGTCCAAGAGCATTGATTCGTCAGCTACGCCGCTATTGGGAGATCTCATTCTCAGCACACGATATCATCTACAACCTTGGATTACCAGACTTGAGGGTAATACAAGACCTCCCTGCAAGATCACCGATTTGAAAATCTGCCACAGCCTCCTTGAGGCAGCTGATGCTTACTTGTCCCGGAGCAATAGCCATTGCCTCAATCCTGAGGACCATCTGGCGGCCAGCGCTTTCTACAAAGAAGCTCAACATTTGTGCGGAGACTTCCTTGCCAGCTGCTTGGCGACAGGCAAAACGAAAGTTCAGGTATTTTTAGGCCGCATCGCGTCAATATCGTACCAGATTTCTATAATCAGCACAGTAAATGGTTACCAGATCTGGGATATAACTAAAGACCTCGATCAAATCAAAGATCTCAATTCTTTCCTCATCGTCGAATTTCCCGACGCCAGACTTTGGGGATGGGACGGCACTACTATAGCATTGGACGAACCAGATCCGCAGGTCTTTGCTCTGCTTTTTGAACATGGGCTTGAGCGAGTATTTCGATCACATGCCGTGCAGCTCTTGAAAAGAAGGGAATTCCTGTCATTTGTTAAGCCTGACCTCAAGCCACGGTATGGGCCTCGACCAGCTCCTTTGATGGTCGCACCTAAAGCCTTTCGCCATGCAATGCCTTCTATATCTACCCTCATTCAGTCTTTTATCCACCCTTCTCTCATGAATGGGATTGGTGTCTCAGTGGCTGAATTGTCGAATTATTGGTATGAGTATTCCGCACGGTTATTGCTAGAAAACCGAGATGATGGGGGGGTAGGCATGAGATGGGTTCTAAAATGGCACGATGGTCAACGATTCTCTGACTTTCGAAATCTTACAAGTATTGTCCGTGAATATTATCCAATCTACTCGACAAAGAACAACAGCCTTAGGTTGACTTATTGTCGTCTAGGAAGTAGAGACCGGACGATCAGCTGTGAGCTAACGATGGACTTCCAATCTTGGAAGGAGACTGAACTTTGTTTCGGAGCACTCGAGGCTCTCTGTCAAATTGACAAACTGCTGCGTGAAAATGCAGATACACGTTTACTTGAAGACGGTCCAAAGCTCTCCGACCCCGACCCTGCGATTCCAAACACTTCTCATATATGACTCTCTGGCTTTTAATCTCTTGATGGCAATGTATGACGAGTGCTCTATTATGCTTCTGGCATTCATCTGTTTGTGAGCGATGTTAAAAGGAAGAATGATATCTATGATATATGTCCCTGTCTCTTTTGTATGTTTCATCTCAATCTAATGACTTCAAGTAGTGTTCAATTTATATTGCTTTTTTGGAGCAGCTGCCCTTCCATGTCATTCGGTGATGGTTTTTGGTTCTATGAGCCATGAAGTTGGCTAGAAATATCAGACATTTAGCTAAAGTGATCATTGTTTATGATTTTGCGAATGAGATGTAGGTAAAAAGGCTTCTAATTCTTTATAGCCTTCCCTTTGTTCCAATCCATGTTCATGTGACAACCACAATCCGAGCAATCTGATAAATCCTTTCTGCATTCTCGCAGTTCCCATATCCATACAATGATAGAATGGTATCATCACAGTATTGTCCTCTAATTAATTCCCAACAAGAGAGGTAGAACTCCTGGGTGAGCTCTTGAGGGCTCGTGACTTCCACCAAAGCATGTTCTGCCGGTTCGGTTGAGCGCGGTTGCGCGAGGCTCATCAAAGGATAAGAGCAGGACGATGTCTCTCCAAATGGAACATGGACCGTCTCGTCCACACCAGGAGGAAAACAAGAGGAGAGCAAAGTTGAAGAGTGAATGGAACATTAATCCAGACACTCGTAACCAGCCGGTTTCGACAATACGGATGAGCTTACGAGAATATTGCGGTAAAGTTGCTGCAAAATAGCAAGAATCGTGATTATTATTTTGAACACTTCAAATTCGTACACACTTTCTACCTTCTCCGTACTTTTCCTATTCCCATAAACCTTTCCAGCATCTCAGCTCTTTTTCAGTCCGTCTCGGGCTTCTGTCCAACAACAATGTACAGCGGGAAATACACATGCTTCGACGCATCATGCAAACTTTTCCGGACCTCGACAAGGTAAACATCAATCGCCTCCATGGTCCACCCCAAGCCCCTCGTGAACACCCGAGAACAGATATTCCTCAGGCCGTCACTAATCGCCACTCGCCAATACAAGCCCGCCCGTTTGAGCAGTTTGTCCTTGGGCCAGATACCCAGCGGAAGCTTCAGGACGATTTCCTCGACATTGACAAACCCCGCGTCGCGCATCTGACCAGCCAGTTTCGAAGCGCCGAAGTTGTCGCCGCCGAGCTTAGCGATGCCTTCGTTCAGCTCGTCGACCCAGTCTTTTACCGGGTATGGCTCGGTCATGGTCCCATCGTCGCATTCGGGGTAGTAGAGGATTTCTTGGAATTCGAAATATCCTCCTGGCTTCAGGGTCCTGATAACTCGTTGAGTTCTAGGCAGAAAGACATCATTGGCGAGGGGGACGTACCGGAGAGCACGCTGCAAAAGCTGGGGCTTGTTTTTAATGGTTTGCGCTACGTGCCGACAGTGGATGTAGTTGTAAGAATTTGGTGGGTATACCCATTCTTCTTCGATATCATCGATGATGAATTTGAGATTTGGAGGTACGTAGTTAGGTTGAATGGCACTCAGGTCAAGTCCTTCCACCGCAGCACTGGGGTACTTGTCGGCCACTTTCCAAGTTAGTGTATGAAAACTTCAGGGGAAGAGGGAAACCTGGCTGACTTTCGATTGCCCAGATACCAGTTCCGGTACCTGTTGATTTTGTCAGTCTTGCTTTTGCTGAATTGGACCCTCGCGTACCTAAATCCAAAATCGCCTGTGGGTTGTCTCCAATAGGAGCAAAGTGCAGTTTTCCTCCACAAAGCATAACAGTCATTGCATGTTTGATATCGTCCCGGTTCTGCTCATTCTCGTCATTCGGAAAGGGGTAGTACGCATCCTGCTTAAAAGCATGATATCTCAGTCCATTCTCATGGATATTGTTGCGAATACTCGATGTCACAGACGCTGAGTAGGAGCTTGACGCTTCGCTGCCATAGGTGCTGTCTCCATCATCATCGGCAGCCACTATCTCAGCCTCGTCTACGTCATGTTCCGCCTGGACCATTTCCGCAACATTCGTTTCTGGCTGATGTTGGGGCGACCGCGGACTTCCTGGGCTTGTCGTGGCACTCCGGGGGTTTGTGGCTTCTGCTGCTGGGGTCGACATTGTGATGTGGCAAGGGCTGGTGTTGAGGAATGACGTGCAGCGAAGCCGCCGATACGCGAAAGCGATCTTGAAATAATGGGGAGAGAAGTGGGGAGGCTTCTTTGTGGTTTAGGGGCGGGAAGCAGCACACCATGTACTACAGTACGATTGGCCCTCGTTTGTACTTTTGCATCCAGACTGCAGAACGCTATTAAAAATCGTTCAACTGGACCCTTCTGCCTGTGAAGATATGCAAACGCAAGGGAAAGAGATCTCGGCAATGCCTCCGGGGCTGGATCACCAGATTGCCGAGACCAGATGGCTGCTGGGCCCTGTACGCCCCACCCCCACTATGCAGGACCCCTCCGTTACACCGCATCTTCGTCTGAAGCTCCCCCTCACTTCCTCCCACCAACAATATATCAAATTAATCCAACACCATGGTTACCAATAGTCTTGTTTCGCTCGCAGCGGCAGTTCGCTCGGCCTTGGCTAAACCCCAAAGCCTCTCGGCGTCCTCCGCAGAGGAGCAAGAGGCGAGGCTCGATTTGATTGATCTGCTCCCCGAGCTCAATGCAGTCTTAGTCGGTGATATTGAATACCTCCGCGAACTGGCATGGTCGGTGAGGATAGCCTCCCCTTCTCAATCATGTCAAGTCTGAGGATGTTCCTAGGCTGTACACGTGCTCCCAGTGGCGGCCATAAACCGATGGGGAGTGGCAAAACTCGTTCCTGTTCACGGGGACATCTCGTATGAAGAGCTCGCGAAGGCAACCGGTGTTTCGGAGTCCATTCTCCGGAGAACGCTTCGCCATGCAATGACGAGTCGGCTGTTCTGCGAGAGAAATGGGAGGGTTGCACATACACCCACGTCGAAATTGCTGGTTGAGAATGAATACCTCGCCGCATTCGTCGATCTTCATACGGAGGTGGCGTTCAAGAGCCTAGCGCATACGACGGACGCATTGCAAAAATGGCCCGACTCGACAAGTCCGAGAGAAGTGGGCTACTCGATCGCTGTCGGTAAACCTGGTGAGATTTCTGTCTATGAGGATCTGGCGAAGGACCCTGCTCGGACAGTGAACTTCGGACGTGCGATGCAGTTCTTCAGCTCGGGCGAGGGGTACGAAGTGACCAGTTTGGTTGAAGGCTACCCTTGGGGTAAGCTTGGGAAAGGGACTGTGGTTGATGTAAGTTGCCGTCCAGCTTTGTCTTCCTGAAAGCATACTGAGGTGAAAATTTCTAGGTTGGAGGGGCAAACGGGTTCGCGAGCGCAGCAATCTCAAAAGCCTTCCCAGATCTCAAACTCATCGTTCAAGATATCCGAATGGTGGGAGAGATCAAGGTCGACTACCCAGGGACCAATATCGAATGGATGCAGCATGACTATTTCACCCCGCAGCCTGTCAAGGACGCAGATGTGTACCTCTACCGCTTCGTGTTTCATAACCAATATGACGATAAAGCGACTCAGACGTTGAGAGCCGCGATCCCGGCTTTGAAAAAGGGGGCGAGGATTCTGATTAACGACGAGATTTTGCCGGAGCCTGGGAAGATTAGGTGGAGGAATGAGAGGGCTGTTAGGGGACTGGATGCGATTGTGAGCTCTTCGGTGAATAATGTTGGGGATTTCGCTAACAGCGGTAGATGCTTGCATGTATGAGTGGACACGAGAGAGGAGTGAGTGAGTGGGAGGAATTGTTCAAGCAGGCGGATTCGCGGTACAAGTTTCTCGGTGCGGCTCCAGCACCGAACTCGAAAATGTGGCTGATCGAAGCCGAATGGACTGGATGACGGATATGAGCAAGTGAGCACGGGGCATCTGACTATGTAGCCTCCTCTATCAGTGATTCTATGAGTACTATCAAAGATTATGGGGATGTCGTGGGTCAGGCAATTCATGCAAGAGAGCCCGCTAAGGGAGTACCGAGATATCCCGCACGCAACACCTCAAAATATCTCAACAGCAATACTACTTTGCTTCCAATACAATACTCCCATAGAAGGCAAATATATTGCCCGTCTTACTAATAACAACCCCCCCCTTTTTTTTTCTTCTTCTTTTTCGCAGGGCATGGGTTTCGATGTTTGAAGTATTGCGAATAAGCGATAGTAAGCAGGCGGTGACAAGGAGAAAATTTGCAATAAAAAGGGTCCCTAAGCAAATCTTCTCCAAGCATGGCGTGAGCAAGAAAGCTACCCCGAAATTAAATCTGGCCTGCCTTCCATGTCATCGGCTTCGTTTCTCACACATGCGCGAAAAACAAATATAAGCGTAAATTAAGCCAGACACTCCAAGACGAATCAAAATCTCTTTCTTTCGCTGATTTGTTTTCAACTCTACTTTGTTGTCAAAAAATGTTGTGCTGTTAAGAATTTCCTTCTCACGTTTCGCTGAACGTCGCGTGAGGAATAAGCAAGCGTGGACGCCTCACGACATCCGCAGAGAGTAAACGAGGTGGACGGAAAGCGAATACCTTCCTGTGTACTGTACCAAAAGGGAGTGGGCGTGAACGATATCTAAAAGGACTTGCTTTTCAGAGGATGAGGATGGAAAGTTCCCTGGAGGGAGGAATATATAATGAAAAGAGACGAGCTCAACGCACTGTTGGTGTTTTGATGTAGGGATTATTAAGTCACTTGGCTCTTCGAATGGATATAGCAGGTGTGAATAGGACAATTGAATGCGTCACAAGAATACCCTTCGTGAAGATTACAACGGAGAGTCAAATATATTTCTCCTCTTCTCCTAGCTTCCCCTCTCTATCAGCCTTCCCCTTCCCAAACTCTTGCCCCGCCGCCTTCTTCCCTCTCTCCCCATAATCATATATCATACCTCATAACCCCTTCCCCATCCCTGATGACCCCTTTTCCCTGCCATCTAAAAAAAAAAAAAAAAAAATCCTAGCAAAGCGCAAAAAAGCCAATGGGTATACATAACATTCCAACGCGACAAACCATATCCAGCCAAGGCAAACGCCAGGAGTTTCCCACCCCGACCCCCATGAAGTCATCCAAGCAAAAACTACCCCGCTTGCAAGTGTAACAAGAATAATGTTCTTAGAGAGAAAAGTGAGAGGAAAGAAAAAGCAGCTATATACAACGCCATCTAATGCACCTCCTTGCTCGAATCGAAAATGATGCATAGGGAAGTCGCGTGTCGAATAGTAAAAGTGGTGAGTTGAGAAGACGAAGCAGGCGTAAACGTAAGCTCATCCGCTGCTAAGTAGTGTATTCGAAAAAGAGAGTCCGTCTTTCAAGCTCGGGGAGTGGAGTCAGGTTTTAGCGTCGTATCCCCCTCCTCATCGCCGTCTTCTTCAGCTTTCCTCGAGGTTCTCTCCGCATAAATCTTCTGCTTGCCCGCTTCCGCAGCTTGCAAGCAATCGATGTACGTCCTGAACTTGACGATTTCGCGCAGGAGATACGATGATTTCTTCTCCCAGTTCGCCATTGCTTTTTGGGCATTGGGGTGGCGAGGTGTGAACTGTGTGTTTTGTTAGTGGATGTTTGGGGAAGAAGGAAATGGGACGGCAAAGGCTTACAGCTAGGAGCATAGGACTGCGCAGTTGATTGTGCTTTTGGAGTTCTTCTTCGATGCCGGAGACATAGTCGGTCAAAGTCTTCAGCTGATCCTGCTCCAAGAGGTTGCTGGCGCGCATGCTTTGAGTTGGCGGGGTCCAGTCGGAAATGTTGATCCTGTCTCCTGGAAGTCGAGATCTCGTGCTTCCGCCGGACAATCCTTGGTCGAGACTCGATCTCAAGGAGCTCTGCAAACTCGGTCTGCGACCACTGGTAGACGGCCTTGTAGAATCGTTGATCGCGGTCACCAGAGCGTTGTTGACGATGGCATCAGACCAGCCATATTCAATATTACTGATACCTCCTACCAAGGGATGATTCGAAAGTCGAGCACTCCAATAATTCGCAGTTGACACGAATTCCTTGACGATATCAGGTGTGCCAACTTGGAAGAGATGGACAGCTCCAGTAGGCAATGACAGCGCCCACACGTGGGGACGAGCCTTGGAATAACCGGGCGATGGTAGAGCACTGGCAATGGTTTGTCTGAGCAGGAACGATCCAAGACTCTCAGCATTCTCCTGCCAATTTCCACCGCCAACCACCCCGCCAGAAGCTTTGCCTTTCGACTTGTTGCGCATACTCTTGCTCGAGAAAGAGAACAAACTCATGTAGCCCTTCTCGATGACAGCAAACACCTCATTCCAGTTGCGATCCTTAGCTTTCTTGTCCAAGGCCTCGAGATGGTGCTTGTGCTTGACAATCCCTTCTTTTGCCCATGGTGCTCCAGCAAGCTCTAATGACTCGTCTTCCAGCAGAGGCGCTATGCGTAGATCTTCGCTGCCACCACTGCCCTGGCTACCAATTGTCTCCTCTCGAATGATTGCCTGACTCAGAGCATTGGCAAAGCCAATTGACTGTTGGTAATCACCAGTTGGCCAGTTAGATCCGAGCGAGTCAACGGACATGGAAGTCTGTGTCTTTCCGAGTGAGTATTTGCTCCAAGTGCTGGACGAAACAGATGGGCTCCACATCGAAGATTGGTCATCTAGGCTTGTTCGGCTCGATCCTAGCCCTGAGCCAGGATATAAACGAGGCCTCGAACGGTTCTTGCTACTCCACTTGCTATTGCCAACGCGAACTGTCTCCGCCGTTCTGCCTCTTTGGTAGCTTTGGGATTCGGACGGTGTCTTACTCAACACGCTGGGAGATCGGCGCAGCATGCCGTTTGCAAAAACAGACAAACTATTGGTCGAGGGAGCTTGAAGCTGCGTTTTATCCATGGTGGCCCCGAACAATGGAAGACGCTCATCGCGGATGGAATTGTAGAAATCCTTGAGCACAATCTCAACCTGAACTTCCCAAGTTCGCAACGTCCCATGAAAAGGTGCTTTGACCAATGGTCCACAATCATTGACAGGAGTGTCATAATCTAATGGCGTTGGCGTAGTACCTTCCGAGTCCGCTCGCATAGGAGGCTTGAAAGATGATCTCCAAGAGGGACGCTCGACTTCAATTGATGCCCTCTGAGGCTTCAACCCATCGCTACCTTTGCTGGTCTCCACATCGAAGGTCGAGCTCTTCCCAGGAAGTACTGTCGGCCGCGATGGCTCAAACGCATCTGGAGCGGAATTGGCAACACTGTGTCGGATTGTAGGCATAGTATTCTTGATGAACTGACTTCGAGTCATCTTTTGGTCGATATCGGCAAGATGCAGATCTGTGTTCAGCAACAATATTGAATAGCAAATTGTATGCACAACATCTGCCTTCCATTAGCGAAGTAATGAGGGGAAGAAATACAAACTTACCAACGCCTTTGAAGCCATGATTAGGATTACACTGGCACCACCTCCTTGAAAACGCAACTAGAATTCGATCGACTTGTTGACTCTCGGCTTTGAGCACTAATCGACCACACATCAAACGAAGTGCCGCCAAGATGTTCAAGTTCGCAAAGTCATACAACTCCATATACGCAAGCAGGGTCCGCGTGCAGGCAGGCCCTTCTTCTCCCATCCAAGCAGCAGCCTTCTCTCGTTGAATAAAGTCTTCATTGCCATCATACACCTTCTTTGCTCGCTCGCGGTCGCCATCACCGGGAACCATCACATCTGCATCTGGAATCAGCTCATCCAGTGACTTGATTGCCTCGGCAGCCGTCATCATGCGACGCTGTGAGGGTGGTGATTCTTCCGCGCTATCAACTTGTACAATTGGTAAGCTTGTGGCAGATTTGTAGACCGTATCGGTGGATCCAGACATTCTTCCAACGACTTCTGACACCTTCAGTTTGGAATTGCTGTTGGGTAGGGTCAAGTCTTCTTCTGATGATGATGGCTCCAGCCACAGCCGATTCTCCTTCTCCAATTGCTTCGGCGACTTGGTCGGCGTCACCATGACCCATTCTGCATCCTTTGTGATAACTGTTGTCTGCTTTAAATCGGATTTAGGCTCTGTTGCGCTTTTAGGTGCATCCGAAACGGGGGATGATTTGGCCGCTTCAATCTTCGCTGGCGTAGGGGAACGTTTCGAGTGAACTCTCTCATATTCTGCAACAAGAGCCATATCTCGAGCCACAGATGGCGGCGGTAATTTGGGGCTGGCAGGCCAAGGCATGTTCTCCTTTCCGCTTGGCGCATCACGGTCGTTGTCGCTGCTATCCTGGAGGAATGTAGCATCCCGGTCATCTCTTGTGCCGTCCAATCCGTCGGCACCTGCATTTGGACTGGAGAGATATTGCTCATGAGCCGAACCAGAAGGCTGCATATCTTCATCTTCCGGATCAGTTGGCCTGACGGTCCTGATAGTCGCATTCTTGTCTGGTTCGTACTCTGGCGAGAATCCTCTCCTTCCACGGTCATTAGGGTCGGGGCTCGCATTCATCTCGCGATCGATGTCGACATTTGGGACAGAAGGGAATGGATCGGTAGGGGTCCGTGCAGGGGTCCGTAAGTATGGATTCATAACCTTTCGAAGGCTGCTTATGGGGCTTGGGACAGTCTTCCCGGCATTAGGGTCCTCCTTCGGCTGCAACATAAGAGGTGGGACGATAGGAAGAGGTGCCGGCGGCTCAGCCTCTGACACGGACTTCTTCCGGCGCCGGAAAAATGATGACGGCTTCTTCGTGAGGACATGCGTATGTTCCTTAGGAACGGGTGGCGGTTCTCGAGGTGGAGGTGTTGTATATTGAGACTTTAGCTGGTTCCCAATATGATGCGTTTTACTGCCTGGCCTTTCCGTTGTTTCAGCAGATGTCGTAGAACCGTGCGATGGAGGAGGCTCGGGCGCAGGGTGATTCCTTGAGGACCCAAAAACTCTTCTGAAGAATCCAGGTTTATCTTTGGAGGGCTGACCAAATCCGGGTGAATTTTGAGGCGCATCTTTGGCCTTTCCATACCCAACAAGGGGTGCAGGAGCAGCAGACTCTCTGTTGAAAGCGGGCATGGGTGGTAGCTCACGATTGCGATCCTTCAGTCCATAATCGTATCTCCCACCTGAGGGAGCATTTCCAGAAATCTTTCCCTTGTAGGCGCTCTTCGATGATCTCGTACTCCTCTTCCTCTCCAGTTTATGCGGTCCTGGGTCAACAGGAGGGGTTGGTTCGGGTTGAGGAATGACTATCGGCGAGTTTGGGCGGGTTCTGCGAGGGCCAACTGGCACTGTAGGTGTAGGCGCAGCATCGTAGTCATATGGATCAAATGCAGCCACATTTGTCTCAATCGGTCGGGCCATTGGATTTGCCTGTATGTTCAAGCTTTGACGATCGCTCCCATAATCGAAACTCGCGGACCTCCCAGCAAGGCCGTGTGCCCACCTCTGGCTACTTGTGACCTGCGCGTATCCAAGATCAAAACTATTCGCGCTGCTTCCTTTACTGCCTTTTCCGCTTCGTGAATGAAGCCCTCGTGGGGGTATTTGTGGTGGTGCACCTCTGGACGTAGCAAAACTCGAATTTGACCCCTTTTCGTTGCGCTTACTATTCAATCGGCCGACGCCAGGTTGAAAATTGGAACTGCTATTACTCCTCCGTCCCCGAGATAATTGCCCGCCAGAATATCGACTCGAGTCGTCTGCGTTGTCGTAGTCGGAGCTGTATGAATAAGTGTGCCCAATTCCTCGACCATTTCTAGCAGCAAAATTTGATGTTGGCTGATATGGCTCCTCATCACCGAATCCTGAATACAGTCGTTCTTCTTCAACTGTTGGTTGTATTCCAAATCCTCCTGGTTCTTGTCCGAACGAAAATTGGTCGAGGGAGAGGAGCATGTGGTCGACGAGGGAGTCGCGCGTAACTTGGCGAGGAGACAAAGACAAGTCGTGCGAATCCCGGTTTGGCTGTGCTGATTTCTGAGGATCATTTTCTTTGTTCCGCGAGGAGTCGATGGGAGTGATGTCGTCCAGGAATGTCTCCCTTAGTCCAGTCCTGACTCTAAGCGCCCGGTTGGCAGCTGTAATATTGCCTTTGCTCGGACGGGGGTTTTCTGTCTTGGGCGTCTGCGGTGGCGAAATCTCCTTTTGCTTGCCTTTGTAACCAGTATCAATGTTCAGACTGACGCCGAGGCGCTTTGTGGGCGACAGCGGGGTGTTCTCGAAGGACTGCATCTTGAAGCGCCTCTGCTGGCCCAGACTGGCATCCGCTCGAATTCTAGGTTATTGCCGATGACGACCCCATGCACCTGCGGCGTGCCAGCCTCAATCCGATGCCGTGGATATCGAAAATGTGTTTATTCGAAGCATTCGATCGATCGTTGAAGCGTGCGGTGCGCAATCGCTCTGCGAGCAGGAATAGCACACGTCGGGGGTTGATACGGGCAGCGTTTTGATACGATCAATTATTGAAACGGCCGAGGCGACTATACATGTATCCTGGTCGAGGCGTCGGTAGTGACTGGAATCGAAGATTCGAGGCTTGAGGGGCAGGAATTGCCGTCGAGTCGGAGATCTGAAGATCTGTTTGGTGAGGGGAGGGGAGGGGAGGGGAGGGGAGACTTTGGTGAGGTGGAGTTTGGAGATGGTGAGTTTCTTGCCGGGGGAGCTTTGAGTTTAGCTAGAGAGGCGAGGATTGCGAGCTGCTGCCGAAGCTTCGACAAACGACGGAAGGGTTGTACCAGCTGTGCAGCAAGGTAAAGTTAAGTTAAGTGACGCACCGCAACAAGTGGACACCTAGTCTCAGGTCTCAAGTCTCAAGTCTCAAGTCTCACAGCTATTTTCGTTGCTGCAATTCCGCATGCGACAACAAACATCCACTAACCGCGAGACACCCGCACTGCACAGTCCAAGCAGAGGGCGAAGGATTCGTTTCGACTTTTGAGGGATCTCGGGCACGTCGGAGCCCAATTCATTTCACCAGCAAGGAGGACCCACGATACCGGCACGGAAATACGAAGTAATTACCTGCAAAGATGGGTGGTCGTGTCGGAAAGCGGTCTGTGGTGAGAGGGAAGGTTGCGCTTGGATGGATGGCCTTGGCTATTCTTCCGAGAGCTCTGCGTCAGCGTTCGTGATATCGTATTTCGCCTCACTCACTGGTGCCTGTCGACCCTGAGGCTAAAACGGCTGCAGGGGCACAACGTGGGATCTCGGTATCGTGAAATTAAGCTCATGTCGTGATATGTTATGGAGCAGGATGCTAATATCATGATCGTTCTGGCGGGTGCAAGTGCAAACTGTCGCAGCGTCACAGGGCCGGATCAGACTGAACACTTCTACACTCCTTCACTCCTTCACTCCTACACTTCTACACTTCTACATGTGCATATGCAGGCGTTGGTCGGCTGCAGACACTGCCAACACGAAAGGTAGAAAATCTACTGTACACGATCGTGGGAGTTTCAGGGGGAGGGGAAGCTTGCTGGTGGGCTGCCCTTGCTCTGGGTCAATGCCGGCCGCCGAGGGCTTTTCACTGCTGTGGCCTGTGTTCCCCTCTTCTACAGCCACTGATAGCCTCGTCGCGGACGAAGGATGCGCACAGAAGAGGCGGTGTGTGAGAAAGACCCGTCCGAGCACCGTGAAGATATCTCGAGTCGGTTGAGTAACCTTACGAGTTGGCAGGTACTGTAGCTGAGCGGCGAGGGAAATAGGGGAGATGGGTGGGTTTTCCCGTTGATACGTAGCAAAGTTGGCTCCTCGGATAGTCTGCCTGCCTGCCACCACACCCACTCGGAGTACGCGTTGAATCGGGGCGTGGGCGTGGGCGTGGGCGCCCTGCGCGTCCACAATGATACCGTACAGTGCCGTCGAGTTCGAGGTGGTTGCAAGCCCCTTTGGCGTGCATTTCTGCCCTGCAGGAAAAGGGCGTCCTGTGCCTGGCATCGGCCGTTCTCGCAAAAGCCTCCAGGCCCAATCAGAGCCGTGGCGGCCCTGGACGGCCTGGACGGAGAATCACCCCTTGTTTCGAGCCAGGCCCGCAAGGCCGAATTTGGTGAATGAGGGCGGGAGATCCACACAAGCGGCCTGTTTGGTGCTGACCCTCATTTGTCCCCGACTCCCCTGGATCCCGTTCGCCAAATTCGGGTTTGCTTTTGCCAGGGTCCTTCATTCGCGTCTCCCCCTTCGGCGGCGCGCGTCAGCCTCGACACTGTGCTCCGTAAGCAAAGGGCAAGCAAAGGGCAAGCAAATGCCTGCATGGACATCCAGTCTTTGGGACGACGATAAGAGAAGCCTTCCTGTGCCTGGAATGCTCCCAGCAATCACAATATACAGCACGGCTTGTAGCTTGAGTTTCCTATGAGCAGAACGGCATTCTGAGGAGGGGCTTTGTTACGGTGTCGAGGTGAAGATCCCAAATCCCAAATCCCAATCCACCTCGAGCCTCCCCCCACCTTATCGCAAGTTCTACTATTTGTTGCCAATCTTGAGGCTTTTGAAGTCCGATCTCGTGGTGGGAATTTTGCTTTTTCCTTACCAGGTTCCTTCCTTGCAATTCATCTCAGGCGAAAATGTGCGCAGTAGAAAGATCAGCTGAGTACTTGTCGTCGCAATCTCCATTATCTGGAAAGCTCCAGTGCCGTTACTAGTTGGAGAGCAGTTCCTTGGTAACGGAAGAGGCGCATGTCATAGCAGTGTTGATATGAAAGAAGCACCGAAACGTGTAGGGTGCAGACTTCCGTGCAGTTGCATTTCCATGTCCATCCTTGGAAGTCGAGCTTGACAACTTGACCTGTCACAATGTGTCACCAAGGCAGAGAGAGTTTCTCGTCATTCTTCTTGCTAAACGGTTGCAATGTCAGAGCCGGACCTGTATCCTGTAACGGCAGTTGGAGAACGAATCGCACTCGCATATGGACTTGGAACGAGTTCGTCCGGTCTTCCCAGAAGTTCGAGGTGCCGGCACTGCCGGTGCATCTTGTAGGGAGAGATGTGGATGCTGCTTGCTGACTGCAATAATCTCTTTTGACGCTTCTAGCCTATCTTTATCACATCCATGTACGATTACAGACAGCAACGGCTCAATACGCTTAGAAAGCAAATTTTCAACACCCTCCTCTAAGTGTCTCCCTGCGCACCCTTCCCCCTGCCAGGCGCGCTCTCAAATCTCCCCTTCCACTTCTCCTCCTGCTTAAACAATGTAACGGCCTCCAGCGCACTCGGAGCACCATGATCCGGATCCGCTCCACCCTCAAGCAAAGCCTAACTCATCAGCATCACCCTCGCTTCCGGACTCTGGATGCAGTGTCATACCTCGATAACTTCAGCCTCGCCCTTGAACACGGCACCCGCCAAAGGCGATTGTCCGCGATCATTCAAACAATTGGGGTCAGCTCCATGTTGAATCAGGAGCTTGACCAGTGGTGCATGGCCATGGTAGGCTGCGAGCATAACCTGTACCTATAGTCAGCTTTGGTGATTCACGTGACCCAGACTCAAGCTCCAAAGACTAGATGAAAGTGTAGAAGACATGGGAAAGTTCACATACAAGACTATCTCCCTTCTCGTTCGTCATATTAGCTGGTAGTCCCGCTGGCAATGCTTGCTGGAAAATATTCAGCTGTCCCGCCCTCGCCGCATCGTACATCCGTGTTGCGAAGGCGATTGCTTCCGGCGGGAGATCTGTTGCTGTATTGCTCGCCATATTTGATCTCAAAATTAATGATCGAGATCTTCGATAATGAGGTTGGCGCTTAGTTTGGTGCTCTTGAAGTTGAATATGAAACAGCCTTTATGTGACAGACTTTACAGGGATCTCCGCCGATGATGACATTGCATCCTTCCAGACTCCTCGGAAGGCCTTTGAATTTGTAATTGATAACCGAAGAGTCAGCAACTGTATTGAAGATATTTCTCTACCAAAGGCTCTAGAATTTCCTTATCAAGTCTCCAATCTATCAAGCCCTTGGATCGAAGACATGCCTCTCTTCCTGGTAGAGAGTTCAGCCTCGAGCAAGCCGCAGTCGTCAGCCTCGCCAAACCAAGCCACCCCTAAAACACACCCAGCTTAGCCTCGGCCCCAGATTCCCATTGAGACAACAACAAAGCAACGCTTCACAATGCGACCACGAATTCTATCTCTCTCATCTTCGCTACCTAGAATTGTGCGGCGGGCGTATTCTGCACAGGCAGAGCGCTTGATAAAGGTGAGCTCGTTCGATGCACTTTTCGAGCCTGAAAACTGCAATGTCTCCAACCCCCTTCGAACATTCAGACCCCTCCCACCTCATCGTGCCCAGGAATCCTCAACCACATCCAGTCTACCAGAACCTAACATCAATAGATCCAAGACCTCCCCGCCCCACACACAGGCCGCATAAGGATCCTCACACTCTCCCGGCCTTCTGCTCGAAACGCCATCTCCGTGGCCCTCCTCTCCGAGCTACGGGATGCTGTCTCCTCCATCGCCTCCGAATACACCCCTGAAGGCAATGAAGCACCACCGACAAAGATATACGGAGGAGCGGCGGGAGTAGATGAGAGGGGACCGACGAGAGCCGTGATACTGGCCAGTGATGTCGATAGCTGTTTCTGCGCTGGCGCTGATTTGAAGGAGCGGAAGGGTTTCACAGCAGCCCAGTACTTTTCCCCTTTCCCTCCCCCTCTCCCTTCCCCCTCTCCCCAAAACCCTCAACAAAAGAGAATGTTTGCGAGAAGATGATTGGGAAGTTAGCTAATTGCTCAATGTATGGATAGGACAGCAAATTTCTTGGAGAATTTAAGAGGAACGTTTGCGGAGTTATCCTCCCTTCCAATCCCAACCATCAGCGCTGTCTCCTCCCTCGCCCTCGGTGGCGGCCTCGAACTGGCCCTCTGCACACACCTCCGCGTCTTCGCTTCCACAGCCCAAGTCGGGCTCCCCGAAACCCGACTGGGCATAATCCCCGGCGCAGGAGGGACCTACCGCCTCCCAGCCTTGATCGGACTTGGTCGAGCGCGAGATCTGGTCTTGACTGGGAGACGAGTGAGTGCCTCAGAGGCATACTTTCTTGGTATTGCGGATCGACTTGTGGAGGTCGTGGAAAAGGATGAGCAAGGAGGGAAGGAGGGAGGGAAGGAGGAGTTGATGAAAAGGGCGAAGGAAGAGGTGTTGAAAGAGGCTGTTAGACTTGCTGGTGAGATATGTGAGGGTGGGCCAGTGGCGGTTAGGAGTGCGTTGCAGGCTGTCGGGTATGCGAGGGAGGAGGTTGAGAATAAGATGTATGAAAGAGTTCTGGGGACTAGTGATAGGGATGAGGCATTGCTTGCTTTTAGGGAGAAGAGGAGGCCGGTTTTTACAGGCAGGTGATGAGGTGTTCATCTCCTTCATGGCATTTGAGAGGAGAAGTGTCTTGGACTTCGGCTTCAAGTTTGAGTGTCCTTGTACGGTGCACTGAGAATGTTGCTTCTCGAGATGCGAACTCAGACAGTCAATTCATCCGAACTCCGGCTTACGGGAAGCCAGAGACAGGCAAGGCCTCGTTCCCATCTGAACATATTCAATGTCCCATCTATTCCTAGAGATTCAGTTCCCTAAGTACCCCTTTCACGTGACGTCCGGAGGGTTCTCTCCTGGCACGGATTCCTCGCGAAAGATTGCCATGTAGTCAGAACATGGCATTTCAACCACTCACTGCAACCCTCTCCTCTCGACCTTAACAACATTCAAACCGAATAACATTCACTCTCAAATGCAGAAATAAAGTGACCTCTCTCGGGCAAAGTCAAAAGTTAAATATGAGGGCTCGATCACATGTGGTTGCATGCGCATGCGATTCACCAATTCGTGACATCCCTTCTGCATTTCGCTTCCCCACATGCATAGCACGCGATGACGTCGACGCCATAGCTCCCCTCCAAGCTCAAGACCTCGTACATAAGAAAACTTTCCCTTCCAAACCACATTCTCTGCAATCCAGACTTCCTCCCCCAATACAAACACCACTTCCTCCCCAATTGAAATTTTTCCAAAGACGAAAAAAAAAAGATTAAACTTAAAACATGTCTTTCCTTACACGCACCGTCTCCCGCTTCTCTGCCCAAGCAAGCAGCGGTGCCAGAACCTTTTCCACGACGCTCGTCTCGAGAAAGATCGTCCCGGATGCAGTCAAGGAGCCGGTTAAGAAGATGGACCGCGCTGTGAGCGATAAGTTAGTTGATGGTATCGAACTCGGCCGTAAGTAATTCTTTTCCCTTCTCCCAATTCCCTTCCACTTCTCCATTTTTCAATCGTCCTAAATCTTCCCCAATACAAACCTGGGCTTGGGGGAGGGACAACATTCTTCCTCTTCCCCGTGTTAGCTTTCGTCGTGTGTCAAATCTTATGAATGAATGGTTTTGGAGACTTGGGGGTCTTGGCTTTGGGGATTCGAGAGAGGAGGACGAAGGGGTTGAGTTAGTTAGATGCTGATGATATGGAAATAGAAACCGCGGCACAGAAAGCCAAAGAGGTGGCTGGCATGTCGAAAGGTGAAGTGAAGGGTAAGGCGCATGAGGTGGCGGGTGAAGCTAAGGGAAAGGCGAACGAGTTGGCGGGTGAGGCGAAGGGGAAGAAGGAAGAGATCAAGGGGAAGTTGTAAAGGAGTTCTATAGAGAGGTGGGGAGAGAAGGTATAACGCGTTTGCGGAATGATGGCATGAGGGGTCCGGTATAGTCCCGGCGATAGGGGAGCGAGGTGTATGATATTTGCTGAATGCAGTGGGAATTCATTTGCAATACTTGGTTCATATTTATTGATTTGAGGTTGCTCAGGAAATAAGGTTACCCGCTTTCGCGAGCCCCCTTAAAAAACAAAGTGCAACCCTTTATCCAAACCCTCAAAAATTAAGTCAAGGAAATTAAGTCCAAGAAGCAAAAGAAATCCTTTCGGACCAAGAAACTCAGCTTTCGCTTGGTTTACTTGTGGCAGAGCATATCATCCTCACACGCCGTTACTCAAGTCACTACGTTTGGTAGATAGTTTTCGCTACCTTGGTAGAAGTTAGAGCCGGGCACATACTATGTATGTCCAGAAACTTAACTTGCGCTAAGCTTACGACTAGAGACCTCTTATTATCTGCAAATCCGCTTATTTTGATATATGAGACCCGCGGCAAAGGGCAAGGCTCAAGCACGGGAAATACTCCTGGACATCTGCATAGGTATATTTCATTCCCCATGCTTCCTTCCTTGTCGCCGACTCAGCGCAAGTGCTGTGCTCAGTTCCCAGTATGTTCAATGCCAATGAGCATGTTTTCCTGCTACTATTACGGACAGAAGAGTTTTCATGAGCCTCAATTGGCCTTTCTCTTCATCATCGCGGACCAGATTCATTTCCCGCCTTCGCTTTGCTCTCTCCCCCTTCAGGCAGCGACGTCAGATCAGGTTTTTGCGTGATGTACAGATATGAGAAATGTGGTTCGGTTCTTGAATTCCTTGTTCATTTTACTCCATCTATATATGCATCCACCCATTCTCAACCAGAACCTGCATCGAATCCGCCAAGCAGAACTCTCCCTCCTCCCTCCTATTCTCCCCTTCCCTCTCCCAACTCCGCACCGCATCCTCGACCACCCATTTCTCCCTCCACCGCCAATACCACCCCGTCGCCCAACGCCACCGATTCGCCCACACGCCATCAACCTTCCCATATCCGGTTGGCCAACCGCCTTTTCTGTTCACGGCGTTAAAAGCGACTTCGTTGTATCCAACCCGCACATTAGGATTAATCCACACGCCTAAATTATCTTTCCCGCCAAGCATACGCGCCATATCAACGTGAATCAAACAGCACTCGCTCCCCTCGACATGTTTCTGCGCCAGACTATCCTCTATCCCTCTAAACTCCAACGGCGGGATTGCGTAGAACGGCGCAGCGTCGAAAATGACGAGGCCATTCCAGCACGATCTCACTGGTGTAGGAAGGTATTTTTGGAGGGTGACCCGGGAGGCGGGGGAGGAGAAGAAGGGCCAGAGGTCTGTGAGCACGGGAGCGCCGCGAGTGTCGCGCACGGCGAAGGAGTCGTAGAATTTGCGGCTTTCGGAGAAATCAAGGGCGCACACTGCGGTGTAGGAGCCATTGCGGGTTGTGAGGAGGGTTGTGAGTTGGTCTGGCTGTAATGAATCCCGTCAGCTGTTTGTCCCCAGAATTTTGATTTGATACGATGGATGAGAGGAAAGGGGAATGAGGAAAACAGAGCGTACAGAGAAAATAACATCATTCAACCAAACAACCCTATCAAACACCCTCCTTGCCTCTCCTTCCCTCTGTGCCATTTGCTTCAAAGGCGCCATAGCCTTATTCCTCGCAGCAGCCAAGTACGGAATCCGTCTCATCTCCCTCCTCCCCCTCGTCCCCATAATCCAGCCGTCCTTCTTCACACCCGCCTGGTACTCATCCTCGCCAATCTTAATCTCATCCTCATGCGTCCTCTCCTCCAACACAACCGACCTCTCCACCCCCAAATTCTCAAGGGTCAAATCCAAATTCCGCAGCACAGTCTTCGTGTTGTCCCAGGATCCAGACTCGTGGATCGAGATGTAGAGGTTCGATGCGCCGTAGGAGTGGATGAGGGAGATAAGGGCGGGTATCCAGTGGGCATCCAATATCTTGCCGTCATTCCAGTGGATGGAGGCGATGAAGAGCTTCTCCTTCTCCCCTCCTTCGCCTGTGCCAAGCTCGTCCGAAGCTCCACCTCCTCCAATACTCACATCCGCAGAAGGACTTTCCCCAACGCGAGAGGCGGGCAAAGCAGTAATCCTCGTCCTCGGCCCGGACACTCGCACCGTGAACCACAGATCAATCACAGCGATACAACTTGCGATGAGGAGCCCGACGCGGAACCAGCGTCGCGAGTATGGATTGGTTATGCGACGCGCAAGGGAAGCGAGGAGCGTCAATCTCATGATGCCTCCTCGACCCTTTTCAGGTCACATCTTTTGCGCGAGGGGACACAATGGGAGGAAGGGAGAAGCAGAGCCAGGATGGAAACGATGAAAAGGTGAGCGTGATACAACGTGGCAGGAGGCACGGCAGGGTGAGGCTGAGACTTCTTTGGCGCCCTGCGGCTTACGGGACTCAAAGGCGAGGATCGGCATGTGGGACAGGTCCTTGGCTAAATGTTCGACATCGGCTTCTGCTCTTCGGGGGAGGAAAACAGGGGTAATTTTCGGGCGGGGGTAGAAGTATTCGCGGAAAGGTGCAGATGTGAAACGGTGGCGTTTCGGGGCTCGCTTGTGGCATTTTCAGGGGAACATGGGAAGCTCGCTTCCTGAACTTAAATATGGACTTAAAAATAAACAACTTCGCGCTGGACAGAGAAAGGGGGCACTCCTTTTTTATGCCCCAAGTCAAATTTGGTTACTTGTCTCAAGTAGGAATATTCTTTTTGGGGATTTGTGAAACAGTCGAAGAGGAAGGCGTCGATTCCGCTGTAAGTTGAGGGATCATCGGGATGAGGGTTTTCTACAGTATTCCGACGTGAAATGACGGTGATGAATTGGACCTTATGAGCAGGCCAGATCGGCGCCAGATCAGTGCGCCCTCACCTCTACTCGCACATTGACCACTAACCTGCTCTTCTTGAGGTGGAGCAGAACTTCCCACTTGGTAACCTCGGCTTCCAATCGGGCGTTGAGAACTCACTTGTGAGGTACATCCTTCTTAATCGAACTCCGCAGCGGTGAGGTATACCAATGTCGTGCGTGCTTTCCCTAAGCCTACATAAGTGGTGTTATTGACCACGAGGTCCTTCCTTTCACACGAACATGCCCAATACTTGTACTGTGCGAGCTGATGGAGTTGGCAATGTTGACACCCAACCATCGCACTTCCTGCACAGGTGTTCGTTTCCCCCGCCTTGTTTGCTCTCCGCGGATGTTATGAAGTGTTTACACTTACTCTCCGCACGAGGTTGGGTGGAAAGGGGAAGGTTTGACAGCAAGAGAGGATCTGACAATAAAAGCGGTGTTGAACATAAGTTTGTGAAAGAAAGATGTTTCGACTAGTCTAGTGGTCTTGGAGTCTGTAGATTTGATTTAGACTCGTGTTTGTTTTCCTCCTTTTTTCTTCACTCTCGGCCCATCTATTTTGGTTCTCATTAATGCTAAACAGGTGATGGGTTCAACAGACGATCTTATTCCCTTGTGTTATATAGTGCCTCCACCGCTTGCAAGTTTTATGTTTGCTCAACTTGGTAAGAGGTAGTGAATCACTACAAATTTCTTTTCTACACGGCAGTCTGGGACCAATTCCGATGCAAAATTATAGGTATGTTGATATCCCGAACTTGTTTAACTCGAGGTTATTTTACACTCAGCACCAACGCTGTACCGAAGAACGAAGACAGCAATCCTTTGTAAAGGAGAATTTCCTAGAGCAAATTTCAGCAGAAACACCAAACACCAGACGAATGCCGGCTGTGATGAGACAAGACAAGAACCCCCAATTCAAGAGAACCAGCCCCTCTTCGTGTTCTTCTCCCTCGTGTCATGAATAATCTTCCACTCCTCTTCACTCAATTCCACCGCGTTGCTCTCTTCCTCCTTGAAGAACAACCAACCATTCTTGACACCTTTTCCACTGTTCTCCCTAGCTTCCTTGACATTCTTCCACTCCTCTTCAGCCAAGCGAACGATGTTGTTCTTCTTCTCTTCTTGCCTGACGAATTCCCAGTTCTGGTCATGTGCCTTCTCCATGAAGAGTTCTTTCTCCGTCTCAATAGTCTTGTACTTCTCGGCCACTGGGTTGACTTTGACCAATACCGCATCGTCGAACGACTGAGTAACTTCCTCAACGACCGCCTTCCATTTCTTCACAGTCTCTCCCGCCTTCTTTCCCCAAGCCTTACACCGGTCCCCAAAAAGCCACATAAGAAGCGACACCTCCGCCCCCCCACAATGTCCAGGAGATCTCTCTCCCTCTCCTTCGTGACATCTCTGCAACCGCAACCAAGCACCTCTTCTTAGCCTCCACTCTATTCTCCTGCTCTCTATGTGTCAAAATCTCCAGCTCAATTGCCTTCACAGTGTCGTCTTGATGGCGCTTAACTTCCTTCTGAGTGTCGTAGAAGTAGAGTCGATTGAATGCAATGAAAAGCTCATATAAGATCAATAAAACCCAGATAGCCAGAACAAAGTACATGGTAATTTTCAATGCTTGAGTCTGCTTGTTGTAGAAGTCGATAGTGATGGAAGGACCTGAGCCGAGTTGGGGCTCGATGGGGACCGGAGAGTGCAAAAGTTTTATGGCATTCGGCCACTCGTCTTGTTGAATTGTGAAGAGTAATATATATATGGTCTTCGGTGAGGGCGGGATAGTTCGATCGGAGGTACTCTTTGACGTTAGAAGCCCAGCCTGCTTTGAGGATGGCCAAGTGTTCCGCTGCATATTCTTCAACTTCTGCTGCACACTGTTCACACGCAGATTCCGGAGATCCACTGGCGGAGGCAACGAGACCCTTGATATAACTGATGTACTCCATGTTACTCGATGCTTTGAGAGCTCTAATAAAATGAGGAAGCTTTGACTTGGTATCCTTAGTTTTGCGGAATCTTTCGTGTAGTGGAAGACTGAGTGTGAGGCTTGATATCAGATTATTATATATGCTGGAGGGGCACTTGTCAGTCCATTTGCATGGACCGTGTAAGAGTTCCATGGTTGCGATTTTGAGCTAAGAAAAATCCATCGTAAACTTGGAGGAGCTATCTAGCGAGAAGCTGGTAAGAGCTTAATCGTTCTTCTCAGAAAGGAAAGTTCCCTTTTCTTGCTTTAGTCCGCTCGATATCTTGGGAAAGGTCCCGCAGATGATACTTGGGTTGGGATGTTGCCCAAGTCACATGACTAAAATATGAACGGAATCACCTCCTCAAGTCTAAAAAACTCTTGGTGCAGAGTATTGAACTTGGAATTATCGGTCGAGGGTGACTGAAGTTGTCTGATCAGAAAGCATTAATTTATCCACAGGGGGATTGAACACGATGGACTTGCTGGCCGGGTTTGGGTGTGGGAGTATCTTCCATGGAACCATAAGGCCGTGTCTTATGTGAAGTTCCATAATAAAGAACCTCAGCAACAATACACCTCACACTAAAGTTATATCCGCGTAGCTCAAGCACGAGAATGTAGTGAATTACAGCGACGTGAAGTTCCAAAATGTACTCATAGGTGGGCAAGAAAAATACCGGCCGAGACTGAAAGAAGTTCGTAAACTAAGCAACCAATGCACTCCTAGACGCCCCTCCATGAATTATCCTCAGGGAGCTCATCAAAAATCCTCTCCCCGATCTCCATCATGCCCTGAGGATTAAGAGCCTATGTCGGATTTCAATCACACCAGATATCCTTCCATTCCTTCCCGACATCCTCCTTGACCCTTTTGGATCGCTCAAACCTCTCACTCATCTCAGCCACCTCAACACAAGCACGATTAAACCTGTGCAACTTGTCCTCCCACTTTCCTTCGTCGTTGCCTTTGTTCTTGATCTCCTGGACCTGCAAACCCCCCAACCGTTCCAAAAACCACATCTTCCTCTCTTCCGTCCCCTGAAACCCGTCAACCTCACAACCCCTCAAAATCTCCCCTTCCAATATTCCGCAAACCTGCTCTCTCTGTACCTCCCCATCCGTCTCATGACGCCATAGAAAGACGGCGACGACGACAACGAGGAAGATAGCTATGTGGATGCCCCAGCGGAGGATTTCTTGCCCGACGAGTTTGGTGATTTCTCTGGCGTCGGGGTCGAGTGAGTGGCCGAGGACGAGGTTCTCCATTCTGTTTTCATTAACCCTCTTCCCCCTGAGGATGAAGGGGAGGAACGTAATCTTACTTGAGCTGGATTCAAAGTTAAGATAATTGAGTTGGCTGTACTGTGTGGGCAAATTTAAGTGTGATATGAATCCGAGGTTGCGTCACTCTTCTTCTCGTCCCTGCGCTTCTTCTTGAAGAGTTTATAAATGAGCCGGACGATGGTGATTTGGTAGCACCACATCTTTGCTTCTTTCGAAAATCAAATGTCGGAAACGAAACAGCTGATTTTGTAATTGACTGATAAGGACTTTTCAGGCTGTTCTGTGGTTCAGAGGTATTTGATCAGGATGTTCGATTCTAGAAATGAGTGACGCCATGAATATGGTTGGGACCAAAGAAGATAGTTGAGCGGAGACTAGGGGTTAGCGAAACTTACCTCTTTTTGGATTGCTGGGCCATCCATCGTCTTAACTTTATCTTTACACATATAAATGATGAAAGCACCCTCTTCGCACTATCTTCAGGTGGAGGATAGCATTTTTTAAATTTCAAATTCCGCACAACGCTTGTTGCGAAAGTCGAGAGGGCTTAATGCGACGACTTGAAAACGGAGTCATTTACTATGCTCACTTGACGATAATGACTTCGCAGACTTCGCTCAAAAGGGACTTGAGAATCGCTTGCACTTTCAGAGATGCAGCGATGCATGAGGATAAAAAAGCACTTTTGCACTTTAATTACAGCATCCAGCTCCAATGACCAGGTGTTTCCCTCGCAACACTTGACGAATTCGGAATACAACCCTCCACCGGAAAGTTTCCGACGGAAATGCGATCAGAGACACATTACCATACAATAGCCCTTCTGCCCTTTTGTGGGGTACAAATCATGTCGTTGAGTAGAAATTTGTAATCAATCTGAGTGAGGAAACCCACAAAATTTATTTCGGCGGAGGGAACTGTTCTTCGATGCGAGACGTCTGGAATAAATTGAACCACGTACCATTTCTCCCTGGAACCGATGGCTTGAAAGATTCTACAAGGACGCGTCCAAAGTTCAACATATTTCACCCTCGGCGTAATAGTTCCAAAACATTTTCTGGAAGATGCTGCGCTAACAGGGAAACCAGCTTATGGAACTCTTGGATTTGCTGGAATGGTACCTCTTAGGGTAAAGCAGATCCTTTGTGTCTTGGAACTATTGTGCCTGCTAAGAAGTAAAAGCGAGCGATCTCTCGCACTTCCGGCGTAACATCGTGTACCGGTACTCTGTATCACCAAGATTTGTTGAAAGGAAAGAATGCCAAGCGAAGGAAAATAGGGGGATGACGATCTCTTACTGTATCTTTCTTGCAGGGAAATATTGTGCCAAGAGCAGGATTCAGGGATGAGCTGAGTGGGCTGACGGCTTCTTCCATCGTTCCCAACGTCACTTTCTGATCTGCAGCCTCGCAGAATGGATTAACGCAAAGAATAAGACTTTGTTTTCAGGACAGTTGTATTTATTGTTTGGATAGAACTCTTTCGACACAACATTTGTTAATTTAAAGAATTCAGGGGATCAACTCTTGATCACGACCTTGAACTGCTTACAGCTTATCTCGGCCCCATAAAAATCCATCAATGCACGCGATGCTTGGCCTTGAGGCTTGAGCCGATCTACCCGTCCTTGTTCGTCTCAGAACCCTCGATTGGCATTTCGCAATCTCCCGTTTATCTGATCCTCTCTTGAAACGGCTTCCGGACCTGGAAACCTTGCTCACCGCACAGTTTTTCCAATAGTTACCTTCTTGTAAGAGGTTCAAATATTCCGGCATTTGGCGGACGCCCGCGCCGCCAGTGTAACCCACGGCTGCACGGCAGGCTAAATTGCGAGCTCCGCAACTGCCACGCGTCCCAAGGAAGGGGATCCGGACATTTAGAAGGGAAGTGCGACTTCGGGACCGAGGAGAAATGGTAAAGGAGTTTATACTTCTCTAGATTCTAATTGTCAGCTTTAAGCTTAAGTTCTCTTCTTCCTTTACTCCGTAACCCATTCTTGCATGTGCCTTACCCCTGAATCCTAACCCTCGTTGCTAACTTCTAAGTGGCTGTCAGCAAATCTGCGTCGTCATCAGGGGAAATTTCGATCATCTTTGATCGGAGGCCCTGTGGATCCCCGGGATCAAGGAAGCGGCCTTCCGCCTTCCAGATGCTCAGGAATTATGGGGTTGAGGGCGTAAGCTTCGTTAATTGGGGGATTTGATCATGTGAGATGCTGGGCCGCCGTGGGAAACTTTGCTTCATGTGGGAAGGAGATCGTTATCAGTCGTCCAAAGCGTGAAAGATAGGGTAGGGTCATTTTTATGTGGGCTTGGTTGAGTTAGGGGGTGGGTTCAGGCGCTCAAAAAGGAGAAGCTAGCAACGCCCAACCGAAGCGTTTAATTTGTCCATCGGCATCGGCAGCGCAATTTTGTCGCACCACTCATGAGCCAAGGGCTTGGATTCTAGAACGAGGAGATGGAGGGCCGCTGCACAAGTGGATTAATTTTTCCCCTTGAAAAGCTCGAGAACAGGTGGAAGGAGTCTTCTACCCCAGCGTATCACGTTTATGCTCACTAGTGGTCGTAATGCCCGGAGCCCCTGAAGGCCTGAGGGCCATCTTTTCTCCGCGAGACCTCACTCGGGGCGGCTGCTTGTACAGGTTCGCTTGTCGCAATTGGGTGTGGGGTTTGCCCTGGATCAGGGGGTGAAGCCACTACTGATGGGCTGAGGGCGCCTAGTGATCATGCGGTAGAGTGAAACAAGGCGAACTTGGACAGAGAACAGAAGGGACGATTACGCGTGCTCGTTCGTCAAAAGACGAAGTTCGCATGCTGCAGCAGCTGTCCGTCCCCAAAGGCTGCAAATTCGGACTCCAGCTCGTGCAAGTTAACACAATACCCTGCAACAGACCGCCGTGAAGTGACGATCAGACAGATGTTGTAGTCGATATTGTTGACGATTTAGCTTTGACTTCGCTGTCTTCGTGTGACACAAAGGAGCAGGCCGCGCCGCCGCACGGTTTGACATTTTAATACCCCTTGCCGTCTCGAACTCCCGGGTACCTTTTTTTAGCCCGTGTTATGTCGACATGCCCCTTTAGAGCACACAGATCATCGATGTAACCTCAGATTCGGTTACTCATGAACTTGGAGAAAGAGGTTCACGAGTGCAGTAACACAAGTGACGCAAAGTGCAACGTTATAAAAGTTTTCAATATGCTAGTGGACAAAAGTATCCTGTCAAAGATACTTGAATACCCGACAGGAACCGGCAAGATCGGTTCTATCCGTTCTTGGCATGAGGTGCGATAGGACAGACTAGTTTTCAGGGGTTGAAATTGCTCGGTACGTACCTCGTACTCCAATTTGACAGGAGTCGGACGGAGGCTGAGGATGGAGGTGCTTGCTCCCCACTCCCATCTCGTCAGTGTGCATGGCATGCTCCACAGCGGGAAGTTGGCCTGTCCATCAAGAGCATATCTCCCAGCCGTCAGCCACATCTTGCGTCTTTCTTTTTCCCCCGCCAAGCTCATCTTGAACACTGTCTAATTCCCCTTTACCAGTGGTTTCCGACTTCCACGCCCCCAACTTTTGTCGACGAGTGCAAAAACTACTTGTTATTTTCCAGCCAAACAATTTTGCACGTTGTCGCCATTCTGCGGCGGGTTGACGAATGCCGACGCCTTTAGAACCGTGAGGGCACGATGAGTAGGCCGGAGAACGTGAAATGGGTGGATGTAAGTTCGAATAATCTTTTCGTCAGGAGCTTAATTCAAAAGGCAAGTTTCCTTTCTCAATTGAACCTAACATTTCCACAGGGCCTCCGCGGCCTGGCGTCCGTTCTGGTTATTTCCACACATATTACGCGCGGATTCTTTCTCGATCTTATGAAGCCCACCTCCGAAGTAGATACTCCGCCAAAACTCTTTCAATATCCTTTTCTGCGAGTGTTAACCCAGGGCCGAATTGGAGTTGCCATCTTCGCCTTGGTCACAGGATATGTTTGCGCCCTCAAACCGATACGCCAGATTCGGGCGGGAGAACGAAATGCAATGTTCAATGGAGTCTCGAGGAGTGCTTTTCGTCGAGTACCGCGACTTATACTCCCAACCGCCATAGCAACAACTATAACATGGTTCTTTTGTCAGTTCGGGGTTTTCCAGGTGGCGGAGAAGGCGGACAGTTGGTGGTTGAACTTTTCTGCGCCAAGAATGACGCCTTATATTGGGGAAGCGATATACAGCCTGCTGTTGGAGATGATCATGACTTGGTCGAGGGGGTGGAATATGTACGACCACCACACATGGACGATGCTCCCGTTGTTGAAGTCAAGCATGTTGGTATTTATTTTCCTTTTCGCAGCCGCATATTGCAAGACGAGATACCGCATAATGCTTGAATTGGGTCTGTTCGTCTATTTCTATATCAGCAACGACTGTAAGTCATATGTCAACCGCCCTCCCCTCATTTTTATGCTAATCCGAGGCAGCAACTTTTGGAATGCTCTCCTTCTTTGGCGTTTTCCTCTCCGATCTCTCCCAAGACCCAACCCACCAAAGCTGGTGCAACGCCCGCAAATGGCCAGGACGACTCCTCACCCCCATCTTCTTCATTCTTGGGCTTTACCTCGCCTCCTACCCCGAAGCCGAACCAGGCTGGATGCCCTGGTCCAAAGCAATGGAAGACTGGTCCCACTATATCTTCCCCAGAGAAAACGACACGCCACGATTTTACACCGCCATAGGCCTCATCTTCGTCGCGCTCGGAATCCACTTCTCCAACGTGGCGAAATCCTTCCTGTCAAGCAAATACCTGCTCTGGTTCGGCAAGCACTCGTTCGCTGTGTACCTCCTGCACGGCTCGCTCCTGCGCTCGATATTAGCGTGGATGTATTTCGGGGTCCATTTACCGAGAGATATCATAGTTGAGGACGGGGGCATCCAGCCTGGGCCTCCGTTGCAGATCTGTGGGAGATTTCAGTTCTGGGCGCTATTGCCAGTTTGGTTGGGCATTGTGTATTTGTCCGCATTTTACTGGACGAAGTATGTGGACCCTTGGTGTGCGAGGACGACAGAGCGGCTGGTGAAATATGTTTTTGAGGAGCCGCAGACGGATTTGGGTGCTGAGAAGAGGTTGCTGCCACAATGAAGAGCTTGAAAGGCAACTTTGGATCGAAAAATTCGCAGAGCACACTTAGACTGAACGGTGTTTTGGGGCGATTGAAGAGAAAGAAAGCCTGCGGTTAGAGGCCAATAGAGACTTGGGCCTTGTTATGTTGGGTTGCACAATAAACGCTCAGCGCCACGGAGTCTTGGTGGTTTGAATATGCATAGCATTGGACGTCGATATGGGAAGGACATCTGCATTGGAGTTCGGGTGTTGAAGAAACTGGGCAGGCATGCCATTTGAGCGAAAATTGCGGCAAAGTACTCTCGAGGTAGCAGAAAGCGGCATTGTATATATGCGCATAATACCCAATCATGCATTCATTTGTTAACATAAAGTATTTGTAATCTTTTGCTGTACATAGTTAAACACTGCGAGACTTCTTCGTCTGGGCTGAAAACTGCCCAAGAAAGTAACAACTACCTGAAACTGAAACCCTGCTGAAAGATGAACGAGTACAATGCTCTCTCAAAACAGCATCCACCTTATGTCTCACAACAACGCCCTCTCCCCTTTCCAAGCGACTCGCTCTCAACCTGATCACGTGCACCACACACCCCACTCAGCGCTAAACCACTGAACGTCCTGAGCACCCAACCTCGTATCGATCTTACCTCCTCGTAGCACGGCGCTCCTTCCTCAAATCCTTGCGCACTAAAGATCCTCATCGTATCTTTTCCAAGATACGGGAAAGTGGACAACCTTGAAGAAATTGCCAAGTACAAGGATGGCGGGTGAGGCGGCGCCAGTTCCTGGGCATCAGGTTCAGCCTGATAACGTAGACTCCATGATTACTGAACATGAGTATGGAGAGGCGATGAAGGTTGATGGAGAAGAGTTGGAGGGTGAGGGGGGTAGGGAGTTTGATGATGTATGTGAATACCCAGGGAAGTGATGTTGAGAGGTGACGCTGAGAATGAGATAGGTTGGTGAGGGAAGTGGGCGTGCGAGTGCAAGTGATATGAGGAGTGATTCTGATTCTGCGATTGGGGGGGTTGGGAGTTATGCGTAAGTGATATTTCGGGGAGAGGGAAGAGAAGGAAATGAGGAGAGGCTAATAGCGACAGGTCTTCCACGTATACCATTGGCTCTAGCTTGGCGGATGAGGTTGTTGAGGAGAATGGGAGGACCTACCATGTTTATAAGGATGGGAGTGAGTTTTCTGGAGAGATTGTGAGAGGGGGTTGCTGACGGGGACAGAATACATGCTTCCGAATGATGAGGTTCGATTCATTGTTTCGGGACTTGGAACCTTTTGCTAACTGAAGACATAGGTAGAGTTGAATAGACTTGGTTGGTTTGTGAAATGCTCTGAAAGGAATGATAGTTAATCATGTAGATATGCAACACAAGATGTGGAGCATCACTTTAGATGGCAAACTGCACCTGGCACCCATTGATCCGAATCCACAAAACGTTCTCGATGTCGCAACCGGAACTGGTATTTGGGCTGTAGAATTTGGTACTAACCCATTCTCTCAAATTTACATAAAATACTTACTCTGGCAGCCAACATCTACCCCTCAGCTCGAGTAATAGGAACAGACCTCTCACTTATCCAGTCAGAATAGTGAGTCAAGTTTATCTCAACTCCTCTCATATTACTAACAGTCTCAGCATTCCGGCAAACTTACAATTCGAAATAGACGACGCAGAAGATGAGTGGATCTTCCCTCAAAAATTCGACTACATCCACGGCCGCACCCTCGCAACATGTTTCAAAGACCCATCATCTATTATCGGCAAAGCGTTCGAAGCACTTGCTCCAGGAGGCTACTTCGAGCTCCAAGATATGTGCCTCCAAACTTCAGACGATGGAAGTATGAACGGTACAGCACTTCTGGAATGGCAGACTCATGTCAAAGAAGCTGCCACCAAGACTGGAGTGGAGTGGACGAATGTCCCCAACTACAAACGCTGGATGATTGAAAAAGGATTCGAAGAGGTTACCGAAGTTAAATTCAGGTGGCCCAGTAATCAGTGGAGCAGTATCAGGAAAGAGAGATTACTTGGAGCGTGGACTCAAGCACAGATGAATAATGGGATGTTGGAGAGTGTGAGTACGAGGTTGTTTATGATGAAGTTGGGATGGTCGAAGGAGAAGTTGGATGAGTTTTTGGCGAGGGTTAATAGAGATACGAAGAATCCGAACATCAAAGCTTATTCGCCGATGTGAGTCCCTCCCTTATTACTTGAATATCTTGCTAATGCCTTTGCAGAACGGTCGTTTATGGGCGGAAGCCGAGGGGTGCTTGAGCCCATGAGATCAAGGCTGCACATTTTCTTCTGGATCAGCGATCCTTTACATATGCCTGGATTTGGACAATCGTCCTTTGCATATACTGCTTAGACAGATAGGTACATTTTCGTTATCCAAACGCGTTAATCTGCAAACTCTAGATTCATAAAGACCAGCTTTCTCAGAGTAACTCCCACATCCCATCCCAAAGCCGCATTTCAGTCACATACTCCTCACTCGCCCCCACATCCTGCCTCTTCTTCCTCCTCTCCGCCCTAACCCTCTCAATCTCCTCCCCGCTCCTCCTAATGCCCCCCATAACCGCCTTCCCCACCTTCTTCACGCCCTTCCTTACCACTTCCATAGGTCCCTTTATCACCTCCATCCCAGTCCCTACAGCCCTCAAACCCTCCACCCACGTCCTCCCAATCTCATCCCTAACCTCATCCTTACAACTCTCCAAAACAAGCAGAAGCATAGCCCTCATCACGAACTCCGTCTCCTCACACCCGTTCCCTGCCTTCTCTTCTAAGCCCTGCAAAATCGCCGGAATCGAAGAAGGAGGAGGATCGAGAGCCACGATATCTTTGGCTAGCATATCGACATCGAAGATCCCGACTACTTTCGTCTTGGCGTTCATACCTAGAGAGCGGAGCAGTGATGAGACGGGACGTAAATCCCTTCCTACGCCTGTGGAGACGAAAACTAGGTCGCGATTTTGAGGTAAGAGGTGTTCTAGTGAGATGAATGACTTGGTTACGAGGATAGGTGTTGTTTTTATCTTTCGGTGGGCGGAGGAGGGGGCCGGATTTGTCCACCAGAGAGCGAGTTTTGTGGTGAATGTGTGGGTTGTGAGGATGTTTTGGGGTGGGAGATGAGAGAGGTCGAGGAGGTCGAAAATTGAGAGGGTTAGCGGGAGGTCTGTTTTCTTTTTGGATGAGAGCGTGGGGATTGAGATGAATATTGGAGGGCGGAATTCAGGGGCGTTGGGACGAGAGTTGGAAGTGAGCCCAAGAAGGTCGCGGAGGAGTGGGACACCTGGTTCTGGTCCTTTCTGCGCCATGTCTTCCTCCCTTCCGTCAGGCTCGTGGTAATTACTTGTGCCGGCGACATTGGAAGGTTCTTGGAAATCGGAGGTCATTTGTAGAGCTGTCTAGGACGATTATTTGGATTTGGCCTGAGGAGGTGGACAGACCGTGTGGGTGAGAGTTTGGGTCCCAAAGTGGTGCGGGCCGTTCCTATAATTCCATTCTAAGTAAATATTCAGAGCGTTTTTCAATTAAAAACAGGGGAAGATTATCGGTGGTAAATGAACACAATAAAATCGTCCAAAATTTCCGGTTTTCAGGAGGTAGAATTCACTCCAATGAACTAAGAAAGTTGTGTCATTGACTGTTTGAGCAAGAGACAGTCACACAGCGATGAGTCTTTAAAATTCTTGATTGTTCCATAATATTCAGCGAAAACAAGTGATCGTGGTTGAGAGGACTCGGAGAATATCATGAACACTTCATGGAGCAAGCACAGAGCAGGACTCGCTACGCATCAGGTGCCAGAGCCTCCCCCTATCTTTCCAAAGGCCTGTTTTGCGGTGGATATCTCAACGACACAGCGCAGAATGGCGAACCGTGATCAACTGAACTTGGAATAGCTTCATAATTCAGTGATTAAGACTTGCTCTAAATCTCGCGCCTCCTTTGATTGGTCGATGGGTAGTGCCTTGGTACAGCACGTTGGTACCGAGTTGGTAATCAATCAAAAGGGGCAGTGTCGCTCTGTCAGCCTCCAATATTTCATCTCAACTTCCTCAATTCCCCTTTAAAAATCTCTTCACAAATCTTCCAGTCCTTCTCCACAAAATGGCTATCTCACCAACCCCTATATCCACGCAGCCTATGATCATGGTGCATAGAGGTTGGCACGAGCACCTGGAACCTCACAGGCTCTCCGAGAACGTTTTCCGTCTGGACAGTGGCTCCGGCACCACAAGTGAAGGCACCATGGGGTCGGAGAAGAAGAACTCACCTCGGAAGTCTAAGCTTGCTATCCAAGAATTTGCGTTCGTTAATGCAACGACACCGTTCAGGAATAGAGATCCTGAGGTTCGGAGGCTGGTTCGAGGTCACGTGGTCAAGGACACGACAAGGAAGAAGAAGTTGCGGAGGGAAAAGGAGAGGCCAAAAATCTCGATATCAGTAAGGCCTGAATCGGAAGATGGATTTCAGGAAGGCTGTTCGAGTTTGAAGACTAGACAGCCGTCTGTTGTCCCTGAAGAAATGACTCTTGCAAACCTGCCGAAAGAATATAACTCCAAACTCCCGTATAAGGAAATGGATCCGCATCCTGAGCTATCACCAATTATACACCATATTACGGAAATGGGGTATGCCATGTGTCCGCACCTCGTTTCTTTCAGAATCAACCCTATCGGTCCAACGGCGTGGTTCGACCATGCGCTGAGGGATGAAGCGCTGTTTCATGCGTTGTTGTATACGACCACGAGTTATGCAGGGCTGATTGGAGGGAGCACGGAGACGAAGGAGTCGATTGTGCATTTTGGGAGGAGTGTGAGTTTGGTGAAGGAGAGGCTGAAGAGTATGTGTGATGTGAGGAATGGGAATGTCGTTACAGCCTTGGTGGAGGGAACTGCGAGGGCTGTGAGTTGTCTGGCTTTTACTGAAGTAAGTTTTGTTTCTGTAGAATTGGCGAGGTGGTTATTAACGGCATCTCGTAGGTCATTCGAGGAAATATTGAGGGATGGAAAACACATATGACCGGCTTGAAACAAATGGTTGATGTGAGAGGAGGCATAACCAACTTTAGCATTGGTCTTCAGCTCAAGCTTCACCGGTGAGTACTCCAAGATTCGCTTTATCAAAGAAGTGACGTTGACATATTTCAGTGCCGATCTTTGGGGGGCTACAGAATACCTCTGTCATCCATACTTCTCTGGATCCGGTGGACTTCCATACCTGCCATCACAAGATGTGAACAAACTTTCGGCTCAAACACCCCTTCTCAATTTACTAGACACGCTTCCACTCTCGCCTGACCTCTTAAATTCTCTGGCATATATGCATGCCCTCTCCGAACGGATATCCGATGTGTCTTCCGGGTCCACGTTGTACACAGAGGCCGAACAGATATCTCTAATGAAAGACACCTTCTCACTTTGCTATTCGCTCGTCCTCTCTCCTAGTTCCCCGCCCCTGAACTCAGGAAACGCATCTCTAGACGACGTGCTAAGAATAGGCGCTATTCTGTATCTCCAGACAACACCGCAAGAATTCCCTCATGCTGCAGTTGGTCTAAGCAATTTAGTGAAGAAGCTGAGGGGATTGGTGTTCAACGTCCACATGTGGAATGTGAGGGAAGCGGAGCTCGTTCTGTGGTTGCTGTTTATGGGTGCGATGTGCGCGAGGAAAGGGCCACATAGAATATGGTACATTGATCAGATTGAGAGATTGACCGGGAGGTTGAGGTTTAGAGGGTGGGATGTGGTGAAGGAGAAATTGGAGAGGTTCTGGTGGGTGAGTGGACTTCATGAGAAGGCTGCTAAAGAAGTTTGGGAGGAGGTGGAGGTACTGCGGAGCGTGATGAATGGAGAGTGATGTTCGATGATAGATGTAACGTGCATAGAAGACTCTCGTAGTGTCAGTCCGCGGAAAGTAAGCTCCAGCGTCTAAAAGAGCGACGGAAACTCTCCAGAATTACTACTCTTGAAAGTTCACTTGCAGGGAGCTCCTGAACCAAAATGAAGGATCAAATCCTCCGTGAAGCCTGCCAACTCCTACCCAGCGCCCTCAATAGGAGGTATCCACGGCACCCGACTTCCGGTGAAGACCTCCACTTGAGGAATAAAGGTCTTGGCGGGATCACGGACCCCATCGATACAACCAGCCTCATTATGTCGGGATGTCCTGTGCTAGTTCTGTATAGCAAGCTTCCACATTGGCTTCACGAATGGTTGTAGATGGTGTTCCACTCTCAACAACTTTTCCTCACACACTAAGTTTGGCAGATTCGACTTTGAGTATTTCGATCGAGACCAGGATGTTGAGTGCGAAGGCAACACGGGTTAACTTGCGCTTGCCCATGCAGTGGCAGCGGGAGGTCAGGATTGGTTCGCTGCTCCAGGAGATGCGGTTGAAGCCGCAGAGGCAGGAAGACCAAGGTATAGCCAAATATTGTTCTTATTAGAGTATTAAGCTAAACTTGACAGAGGAGATAATTCATGAGGATTTCATGGAGCTTTATGTGCTGTATCTGTGTCGCCTTGACGCCATCTTTTTCTCTGCTTGTTGGTTTACCTCATGGGGAAGTAGCATTCTCTCCACGAGCCGTTCTCATGAGCGCAACTTCTCGATCAAGGAGAGCTAGCCTAATTCAGTAAGCAGTCTAAGGGAGTTGGGAGGGGAGCAGAATGAGAAGTGAAAATATTAAAAAATCACTGGAAAATGACTTCGCGGTCCTGCAGCCCCACACTACAAGTCGCGTTTTCCTAAACAGGATGCATGAATAAGTAAAAAGGCGCCCTCAATATTGACGATCAATAACTTCTGGCACAGAACCCAAAATCCAGGCACTCAGAAAGGAGCACCCACATGATTGGTAAAGAGGAGTCTACTTGGATGCTCAGTTTGCCAAACCAGTTGTTCCGTAACTGTGGGAATGCCTTGATCCAAGTGAGAGGTTCACTAGACAGGCTTCGTGTGCTCGATAATTGGCTTCTTTCATCTTCTAACAAGTGGGTATCAAGAATTGAGCAAGAAAGGTCGGTTAAAGTGCCAAGCGACGCACCATTTACGAGACATGAGAGCGCCTCGGAGTCTGCCTTGGCCGGGAGTACACACTGGTTTGAGATGCTGATTGAATCTTCGGATATGAAGGGATATGCGCATCGAACATCAGTCCGAGTACACAGACTCAGCATCCACTCTCATCACCGTCGAAGCCCTACCAACACACGCCTGCAGTGGTGGCACTGCGCCAGCAGAAGAGCGTTGATCTGCATCGCGAGGCTGTGATTGAGCCTTCCCCCGGGAGACATATAGACGCATGCTGCCCGTTACCAGATATCCAGCAGCGCTAAGTGGCTTGGTAATGAGACACCACTTTCATACTCGAACGCCCGAACACCATGAGGGGAAAAGGGTCCGGATCTAAATTTCTTTGTTGTGATGTTCAGTTTTGGCTCTCAAGATTTGAGGCAAATCGTGTGACGTCCTTCAAGACAATTGGAAACTGATAGGATGAGAACTTCTGCCCTTTCACTTGAAATATGAACCTTTCTCTATATCAACTCTGAGTTTATAGAGTGTACTAACGCAAACTCCGAGTCCCAGTCTTGATATGCGCTGGGGAAAATGATGACGGTTTTGACATTTATATCTGATGACTAAGGGATATTTAGGACTTTTGGTAAACCCGAAATATGTGAGGGCTTAATAGATAGGAGTTGAAACAAAACTGCACCGTTAAGATTGTTCTGTTAGCAGGAGAGAGGAACGGAGGAGAGGGTCGTGGAAAGGGGCCCGGATTTTAGCGTGGGGCAACTTTTCAGCCTTGCCAACATTGACATCGCGACGCGTTCTTGATGGAAACTGCAACCAGCACACAACGCAACAGCCACAGCCAGCCCTTCAAAACCATTGATCAGGTATCCCGAGACGCCCGTGATATGCCGGATCCCACGCGTCGATGATATCTATTCCAGATCCTGAGAAATGGCTTCGGTCACTTCGCTAGGCCTCCATCAGCCTACAGGACTTCAACATGCGATCCAAGAACGATTCCTGCCTCCAGAACCACCTAGCACATCCTACGAATGGCACAATCACTTCGATAGCAATGCCGATTCCTCCTCCGAAGATGACGAATTGCTGGTGACCCCGCGGTGCGTGATATGGTCTCGGGGTGGGGTCTTTCGAAAAAGCTACAATTTTGATCTGGAGAAGGAAGAGGTCACCCAAGCTTTGTTGACAACATTTCCGAGTGTTGGCCCTCTCGCTGCCAAGGAGAGGAAGGCGACACAGAAGAAGGGAAATGCAAACCAGAGGGAAGCAGCAATTGTCGTCTTTCTTAAGACTCAAGCACATGTGTATTTCCTCTCTGGCACGAGCCATGTTATACATCTGCCGTTCGAGGTTGAGACCGCCTCTGCTGCTCCCAATGGCCTCATCATTCAACGAAAATTACGGGTTGACAATCTCGTGCCTGCATCTCTCAATTTCCCGAAAGTGCCGCCGAACTCCTTCGTTTCCTCCCAACCAAAGTCATGGTCTGCTGCAAGCTCGCAACTATCAACTTTCTCCATCGCAGACCTCGGGGCGCCGAAACAGATGGCAATGCCACATTCGACACTGAAGGATATGTGGGATCCGCCAGCACTGAAGAATGACTCGAATTGGCCAAGGCTCTTCTCATTATCGGACCCCCTTGCTGAAATTGGGCTGGTTGTTGCCAAACCCGTCAAATCGCCGAATCGCGGACACAGGGGGAGCTCTGTGAAGGCAGCCGCGTTAGATACTGCAGAAGAAATACTCCATGTGTCTCGTCGAGACGAGTTCTCTCCCAAGGACAGCAAGGACCCCCTCATCCTTGCATTGACTCTGAACCGAGAAACCAGTATGTATACGGTATGGAAGGTCGCATATACTGGTGAAGAGTCAAGTCTGGGAGAGAAACAGAGGATTCCGAGCGGTGCTATATCCCGTCGAAGAAGCTCCTTCGTCCCTGGTACGGGGACAGGGGCCACGACCCCCGTCATGAACAGCCAGCAGACGTTCAGAGAAAGTCTGGGGGGCAATCAACAGGACCTGAGGTCGAAGAAGAATAAGAATATGCAAGATGAGTCCCGAGACAGGCTTACTGATTTTGCCTCGACTCTGGACCCTGACTTTGAGAATACCACAATTCCACGGAGGAAATCTCGACGGGTGAGCTCGATGCTTGCAAGAGCAGACTTGTCTGCGTCACATGAGCGTTCTGCCTTCTCAGAGCTTGCAACTGGGCTTCAGCACTCCACCACCAGACGAGCAGAGTCTTTGGGCGGCCAACATGCCAGAACAAGCATTGGAAACCATTCAGTAGTGAATGGACAAAACTTTCATCAAGCCTCGCACTTCAACAATAGTCTTAACAACTATTTGGAAGCGCCCGTTGATGATCTCCTGGACGAACTTCGAGCCGGTGGGGATTTCGAGGGATTCCACAATATGGGACTCGATGACGATGAATTCGACGGCCTCAAGCAAGAAGTGGTCTTCAGCAAAGTGTGCCAAGTCCCCGCCGAACATACTAACGTTCGATACTCGAGCCAACATCTTCCCGCGTCCAGCCAATGCAAGATTTTCACACTGACAGCTCCACCATCTGCAGCGGATAACAAGCAAGGAAACACCATTGTTTACTGCGCGTTAGACACTAAGGAAAGGAAGCTTCTAGTGTTAACTCTCTTTGCGCAGATCCATAAGGCGAACGTTGACCTTTCTCCGAATCATGTCAATGGCATGAAATCGGAGAGGGAAATCACCGTGGTCACCTTGGGACCGACAATGAGAGCGGACAACATCATCGATGCGTGCAGGATTGACGATGGGCTGGTTTCCCGCATTCTACTCCTGACTGACACTGCAGATGGGTATGGAGAGCTCACTCTGCAAGCACCATGGTGTGGATTGATGAAAGTTCCACTCCCTCCGAAATTTGCCGTCAGTAATATTCGAACTCTCAGTCATAACATTCTCCCGCGAGCGAAAAGGGAAGGTGGCTTTAAGAGGGTTCTCAGTCAGGGACCTCGAGCTCTTCGAGGTCTGAAGAACTCCAAACCAGGAGGTCTCGTAGATCTCGTTGATGATGAAGGAAAGATGCACCAGCTCCAGATCCAACTGCAGCCTCGAAACCCCCATGTTTGCAAAATTCTTGAAGTGTGTCGAGGCGTTATTCCAGGAGGAAGAGCGGGAGAAGGGACCCTCAATGCATGGTGGAATGTCATGCAATGGCTCCGACTTGAGTCAGTAGAAGCAGAAGACCCTGAGTGGTGTGCTCTTGTTATTGTTCTACTCTCCATGGTAATCAGCCTGGGTAAACTTTCGAAGCCGGCGAAGCACCACACACATGCAAAGCAGAAGTCTCGAGCTGGCTTCTTACGATCTAGCAGTGGTGCTCAATCGGACCAGGAAAGCTGGGAGATAATGCTGGAACAGGAGGCCTTCAATGGAAATCCATTGCCGTCTTGGGCTGACAATTCTGGTTGGAGTTGGCTTGCTGATGATGCTGGCTTGAATGATGGCGACTCGGAGCCACTTTCGTTGTTTGGTGCAAAGAGCAGTGACAGAGACTCTTTTATTAGAAGACATGTGAAGCTCGCCAGAGACTTCGCATGCACACAATTCGGCCAGAATGCAATTTATAGTTGTCTCCCGACGTCTCCTGACAGAGAGCGAAGTATCGAGAGTCGGAAAGCTGCTCTCGTTGACATTTTTACTTGTCTACATCTTCTACGAGAAGAGCAAAGGCTAGATACGACTACAGCCGAGTCATTGAGTACTGGTGTGGCAAACTTGAGTCCAGTTCTTGCCCAGATTGCCAGGTGGCTTGGCTGGGACAGTTGGATACAACACTATGAGTTTGAGGAGGCTTCCTTAATTGATACGGACTACGATACTGGCAAGTTACTGTTCAACAAAACTGATTTGATAGGCTAACAAAGTGAGCTAGATTTCCCCATCGAGTCCGTTGTTCCTCAACTGTTTGAGTGTCCGTCCATTTACGACTGGATACAGAATTGTTTAGCCAGTCGTCGTCTGATACCATTCATGACACTCCCAGAAATGGTTGCTACTCGATCCCCTGCTTCTAGCAGCAATGCTCATAACTTGAGTCAATGGACCAGACTCACTCCAAGAACACTTATGTTGGAGCGATTCTTCTCTTCGATGCAAAGCGACTGGTGCCCGGCCCAGTTCGTCGAGGCGTTGTTTGCTGCAGGCATTGATCTCCTCGTGCTGGAAACATTACCCGAAGCTGTCCTAGCCCCTTTCCAAGAGGCCATAGTCCAGTGTCAAAACGAACCTCCGACGTCTTGGAGCAAAGATCTCCTTGCCCTTGTCGGCCGAGAAGACGTAAATACGCTGTTGGTGCCGGGACAACAAGCGCGTCATTCCAAGACGAGCATATTGGTAAGAGCGCTCATAAAACATCGCCGTTCGAATGCTAACTCGACAGGCTCCATCCCACGAAGCAAGCTTGGATGTCCACTCTATTTGTTTATTTACAGGAGATAACGAGAGTACGGGATCATTTGACGGATCTGCAGAAGTAGATCGACAGGCCATTACTCGGTCGATATTCAAAGACGATCGAAGGATGAATGAAGCCTCAGCCATCTTGAGCACTACGACACCTACTGTAGCACGCTGTAAAGCTGAACCACAATGGACAGAATCGGAGTTGCTAGAAGCACAAAAAGAACATGCTCAGATGCTAGCTCACCGGACACTGGCGATTTCTTCTGGGCGGGGATTATTATACTACAGCGCCCGAATACCTCTCCTCACGCAACAAGTCAAGATTATCACCTTTAATCTGAGCTGTATAATGAAACCGGACAACATTAGTGTTGGAGTCGACAAAAGTGCATTCACAGAAGAGAAAGTATGCTGGGCTTTCTTCCATGCAGGAGTTGCTGCTGGGCTCAGCATATCGCGTGATGCAAAAGGAATTGATACTTCATGGATTCTATACAACAAACCTCCAACGGAGCTCAATAACCGCCACGCTGGTTTCTTGCTTGCTCTGGGTTTGAATGGACATTTGAAGTCTGTGGCCAAGTGGGTTGCTTTCAAGTATTTGACTCCGAAGCACACGATGACTTCCATTGGATTACTTCTCGGTTTGGCTGCATCATATATCGGGACAATGGACTCTTTGATTACCAGGCTCCTCTCTGTCCATGTGACACGCATGCTGCCCCCTGGTGCAGCGGAGCTGAATCTTTCGCCTCTGACTCAGACGACTGGGATAATGGGCATCGGTTTGCTTTATTGCAATACACAGCATCGCCGAATGAGTGAGATAATGGTTTCAGAAATTGAGCACATAGATACTGAGACTGAAGAGGAGCCTCTACGAAATGAGGGTTATCGGCTTGCTGCCGGGTTTGCTCTTGGCTTTATCAATCTGGGAAAAGGCTCAGATTTGAAGGGACTTCAAGATATGCGGCTCACGGAAAGACTCCTTGCTCTTGCGGCAGGCAGCAAGAAAGTTGACCTTGTCCATGTTTTGGACAAAGCTACGGCTGCGGCTGTGGTGGCCATTGTTCTGATCTTCATGAAATCAGAAAATCAAGTCCTGGCTCGGAAGATCGACGTACCAGATTCTCTTCTGCAGTTCGATTATATCCGACCCGACATCTTCCTCCTCCGAACACTTGCCAGACATTTGATTATGTGGAGCAAAATTGAGCCGTCTTTCAACTGGATCAAGGTCAATCTACCAAAAGCGTACCAAGATCGAAGCAAGCTGGAAAGCGTCAATAGCTTGACGAGTGAGGATCTCCCATTTTACGATATCATTACCGGTCTTTGCTTCAGCATTGCCTTACGATTCGCTGGGTCTGCTTCCCTGGTTGTTAGGGACCTACTGATCCATTACCTTGATCAACTGATGCGGATATGCCGGATCGAGGCGAACACTTTTGATAAGAAGTTGACCAGAAATACTGTGCGAAATTGTCAAGATCTCGTTTCTCTGGCAGTAGCGACTGTAATGGCTGGTACCGGCGATCTTGTCGTCTTCCGTCGACTCCGATCAATGCACGGTCGTGATGACAACGAGACGCCATATGGTAGTCATCTTGCAGCTCATCTGGCAATCGGTGCTCTGTTTTTGGGAGGTGGAACTTTTACTTTTGGCACGTCAAATCTGGCAATTGCTGCGTTGCTGGTGGCCTTCTATCCCATTTTCCCATCATCGGTACAAGACAACAAATCTCACCTTCAAGCTTTTCGACATTTCTGGGTGATGGCGGCAGAGGCACGATGTCTTGTTGCCAAAGACATTGACACGAACTTGCCTGTTCCGATTCCGGTCACGATAACCCTTCGGAATGGCGCACAAACTCAACGACATACACCTTGTTTGCTACCAGAGCTAGATCGGATTAGTACCGTTCGTACGACAAGCCCGGAGTATTGGAACCTTGTCCTCGATTTTGAGCACAATCAGACACACATCGCTGCGTTTAAGGCTACTCAAACAATATATGTGCGACGCCGACCAGCTCATGATGCCAACACATCCGTATTCCAAGCGACTTTACAAGCCCTGAATGACGGTGCTGGCACATCATCCAACTCACTTGAGTGGCTGTTCGAACTTCCTGCCTTCGCAGGTCTCACCAAAGCAGAAAGAGCCCTGGTTCTTCCGCCTAATCATGGTGGTGCGAGTGATATCCATGCTAGTACAGATCAGACGGTTGTGGATTCAAGGTTGGTGCTCGAGAATGCAACTCTTGATAGTGGGAAGAGAGATCGACTGTTGGGCTTAAGATTACTCTTCGACTGGGCGGATCGGGCAACGAGTGATGGGAAGGATATGCAATGGATACGAAGGGAGGTGGTAGAGAGATTGAAGGCTAGGGTATGGATGCTAGGGACGGAGTAGGTGCATTATCACGGTGTTTTGAGTTGCTGAATTGGGGCAGCACTGTGTAACGCATTTTAGCGGTGAACGGAAAAGTAGCATTTTGAGTGGAACCGCAGATCTTGGCTAAGAATGGTGAGAACTGCAAACCTTGATCAATGTCCTAGAGTATACCACGTGCTCCGGAGAGGTAACAAGGTCCGACCCAGCTGAAACGCGGACTCATCTTCCGCATCCACTGCACTCCCTTGGAAGGACCCACTTCTTCCAAGCTCGAAATCAAGGCACACCCGCTGCTGGTTTCAGTTTCACACTTCTTTCTTTCTTCTTTATCCTGACGATACAGTTCACTCACTACCAAAGAATCAACCCCCTCAATCTAATCCAACTTACTTCGTCCAAGGTTTGTATTTAATTCTCGAAGAACGGAATTGAAATGTGAGTAGTATGCTGATTGAAGCAGATGCCTTCCGTCGTCGAGCAGCAGATCCAGGCCCCTGAGCCCATGACCGCTAACACTGATAACATTGCTACGCAGCAGCCCGTAAGTCCCTCCCTTCCCTCACTCCCAATCAATCCCCTTCCTATATCAATCCCTTTGTCGATCATTGGAGAAGGAAAGGAGCTGACCGTATCGTGACAGAAACCAGCACCAGCCATGACGACCGGTGACGAGGTCGGACTCCGTGGTGGAGAGTCTGCTGGCTGCGAATGTTGCGGTTGTAGCTGTGGCGAGAGCTGCTGCTAAGCAGCTCTGCTTGTCCCACGATAGGCGGCACGATTGACACACATGAGGAGACTGGGGCTTGCATTTTGGGGGAGGGAATCGGTGCGATGGGGCAGTGAGGGATTGGCGATACACAATTGAATCGAATTACAATTGCTTCATGAAGATATGATATTTCCTTGGAGCAGATGCAAGAGCGATGATCGATTAACCTTGGAGTGACAAACAAGTACCGAACTATTGGTCCGCCAAGATGAATGGCACCATGATGGAGGGCTTGCCAAGGAGCTGGGCAAAGCTTGTCCTCACTTCCCATCTGATTATTTATCACTATCCGCGAAACAGACCAGCATCGATGAACGTATGAGTTTGACGGCTGGCCATCGTGAGTGCGAGCACCTTCCAGCAAACCGAAATCTGATGCGAAGCTGTGCAAACTCATACCTTATCGTGATTAGCAAGTCGCGCAAGAGTGGTGTAGCAGACCGCTCAACACGGTCCACTGTCTCTGCTCCTCACAGAATATTGCCTCAAATCGTGTGCTTCATTTATCATCGTCTTCTTAATTCAATATCGCATCTAGACTTGACCACCAAGCCCTAGAGATTCTCTTGTTTAATTTCTTGCATCGTACATCATGATCGCTATGGCTGTACGGAGGCGCCTTCCGAGATTCAATGCTGTCATAAATCCCGCGCTTCCCCTGAGAAAGGGGCCCGGGTGTGTGATCACGTGCTGGTTACAGAAACCCCACCAAAATATGGTTGGAAAAGTAATTATTGATGTTGTTTGTCTACTCTCCAGAGTGGAGTAATCCAAAAATCGAAGTTGGAAGGCGAGTTATCTTCATCCTGGAAAGGCGACCATGTGGAGCGGGCTTCGACACTCGTCTTTCTTCTGCGCTAAAGTTACAGTGTTTTGTCTCGAGCCGTTCAGAGAGCGCGGCAGGTTCGGCTCTGGATGACAGTTCTCCGAGCATGAGCTAAAATTGCAGTGCACCGTTACCGAGACCTCTTAACTCCCTCCAAAACCGCGATTTTTCATGACATTGCGCATTTGCGCATTATACTTAGCTTTTGAAATTTTGAAATAAAGTAATTATTTAAATTCCTATTAATCTATTTAATTCTCTATTAAATTTTTAATAAATTTTATAAGGCTATTTTTAGAAATTTTTATATAAGTAATTAAATTTAATATTTTATTAAATAAAGAAAAGAAAATTTAAAAATATATAATCTTAAAAATATATAAGCTATTATAGCTACTTTGCTTAAATCTTATTAAAGTTTCCTTAAAAATCTTACTTTTATTATTATAATTATTATAATATATAATACTAATAGAGGTTAGACTAGAACTAACTAGATATATAAAGTTAAAGTCAGGAAGTATAAGTCGAGATCACGTGTTATGACTTGAGTCACGTGTTACGACTTCGCTTAGCTAGTATATAAGCCCGTATATAGTATGGTATAGCAAGCCGTATTCTATTAAAATTGCTTTGTTTTAATAGTTTTAATATTTTGGTTATATAGTAAAGGCTAGGGCCTTTTGCACGTGACTTGCGGGAATTATATAAGAAAGCTGGTTTTTCTATAGTTCTAGATAATAATTTCTCTTCTATATTTAATTAATTAAGCTTTTATATACTATATACTATTTATACTTTACTATTTATACTTTTAATCTTATTATTTTATTATTAAGTTATATTTTATACTCTAATATACTTTATATAGGTTTTTGTCTTATTATAATTTCCTTCTCATATATTTTATAATAAGTAATATAGGGAAAATCGAAATTTTATAGTTAAGGTAATACTTTTATAAAGTTCTGAGAGATTTCTATAAGGCGGATTATTAACTTAGTAAATTTAGAAAGAAAAGAGCTATTATAATACCTTAAGCTTAAGGCTAAAATATTAAAAATATATAAATATTAATCTTAGTATCTTATATTAATTTCCGATATATCTAGTAATTTGGATACGGGTTAGCTATAAGATATAATTACTAGTATAATATATAAAAATAGTAAGAATAAAGGCTAATTATAAAAGGAAAAGAAATAGAAGAAATAAAATAAGAAATATTATATTAAAATAATATAAGTTAGACCTTAATTAGAAATAGACTTTAGTACTCGGAAATAAAGTTATATTATTAATTTATATATTATTTTTAGTTATAATAAGAGCCGGAATTAAAATAGCTTTAATTTTAGTAATAAAGCTTGCTTTTAAATCTAAAAAAATACCTGAATTAGGAAATGCCCTTAATTTCAAGTAAAATAGTAAATAAGAACCAGAAATAAGAATTAAAAAGAAATTAGAAATAAGAAATTATATAAATAATCTAGGGAAGCTTCTAGAGAAAGAAAAGAATACTAAATAAAGATAAAAAAAAGAATTCAGAAAAGTAAGAGAAATTAGTGAAATTATATTTATTATATTTATTATTATCTTTAATAGTATTATTAAATATATTTAGTTTAGTAAAATTAAAAAAAAATACTATAGATATTAAGCTAATAGAATAGAAAAGAGAATATAAATAATAAGAATAAGACTAGAAAAACTATTACCTTATTACTACTAATATTAAAACTCGAACCTAAACTATATCTATTATTATTAACCGGTTTCTCTCAAATCCCGATTCCTATACTAAAAAATATATTTAAATAGAAAGTTAGTATTTTAGAAATCTTATTAGTAGAAGTCTCAAGTATAAAAACTCTATAATTAGTTATAAAAGAAATTATTAAAATTAATATAACTAAGAATAAGTATATACTAATACCGGATTTAAACCTACTACTTATAGAAGCTCCTAAAATACTATAGTTTTAGGGAAATAATATTTCTATATTCTTAAAATAATATATAAATATATATAAAAACTATTATATTTCTAATAATATTAAGAAAAAGAGAATTATTTATTATATCTTTCTTATTTATAAGAATTAAATTAAGGCTATACTAGAATACTATACTAATAATCTAGGAAATTACTAGAAAACCAAGTTTTTTAAGGCTTTATTAAAGGAATTCCGAAAATATAATTAGGAAATACTTAAAATTAGTTATAATTTTTTTAATTAGATTATTATATAAGCCCAGAATAGAAAGATCTCTTCTAAGTCTTATATTAATATATTTAATAAAGTATTAAAGAAGTTATTAAAGAGGAAAAAAATAATTAAAATTATTTAATATTAAGAATTTATAAGAGAATTATTTATTTTAGTAAGAAATTATATTCTTAAGAATATAAACTTTAAGTTTACGAATATTTTTACTTATAAATATAATAAGATATATAAGAAGATAATAATATCTTATTAATATAAAAAAAAGAAATATTGTTTTAATATTACTAATAATTTAAATATATCTAGATTTAAATAAGAATACTTAAATATAGTAATTTATAATATAGTTCCCAAACCAGAAAATAATTATTTTTTACTAGTTTCTTTTATTATATTTCCTAAAGCTATTATAGATATAAGTAAAAAGAAAATTTAGCCTATAGCTAATTATATAAAATCTATTAAAAGTAATAAATCTAAGAAAAATAATATTAACTAGCTAATAAGAAATCTAGAAAAACTATTTATTACTATTATAATTTAAGAAAATCTATAAAAATAATTTAATATAATTACTATTATAATTCGAGAAGATATTTATAGCCTATTTATATAATTTAGCTAATTATAATAGAAATAATAGTATTAATAGCCTAGTAAATATAATTCGGGTTTTCAGAAAAAATATATTAGAAGTTATAATAATAGTTATAGAAAATACTATAATAGCTATAATAGTTAAGCTAAAATAAATAAAGAATCTAGATAATTATATTCTAGAGAAAATTAGTTTTAAATATAATTAGAAAATACTATTCAAATTAATATAACCTATAATATAGCTCTAAAATTAAGAAAATAAATTTACTATAAGTATTATAATAGAAATAAAAATAATATTATTAATTTAGAATATATTTATATTTTTTAGTTCTATTATTTATTAATAAAAGAACTTATAAATTATAAATATATTTACTAATTTAATAGAAAATAATATAAAGAGCTATTTAAGCCTAAATAAAAAAGTATTTCCTTTTTCCTTACTAGTAAATACTAGTAGTTTAATTAAATTATTTCCTAAGTTTAAAGAAAAGAATTTAATTATAACTTAAAAATATAATCTAAAAATATCTAGAAAATAATAAAAGATATCTAGTTTACTAAATAAGAAAGAAATAAGAGAACTAGCTAATCGGGATTTATATATAAAAGCAAATAAGTTATATTTAGGAAATCTAAATAGCTATTTTATTTTAAAGGAAATTATATTAGAATTACTAATATTTCAGGTTCTGGAATTAATAAATAGTATTAAGATTTGGCTATAAATAATATTTCTATTAATACTATAATAAGTTTCTTATTAATAAAAAAAATAAAAATAAAAATAGCTAAAGAAGTTTTCTAAAAATAAGCTAGAATAAAAGAAAAGCTATTCTATATAAAAGGCCAGAAAAATATTATTCTAAGAAATAATAAATAAAGAAATAGCCTAGCTAAAAATATAAATATTAATATTTTCGGAAATAAATAAAATAAATTAAAAATCTAATATACTTTTAATTATAATAAATATAAAACTTCTAAAATTAATAATATTCTAATAAAATTACTAAAAAAAGTAATTATTTTATTTCTAAAAATTTAGAAAGAAATAAAAATACTTATTAATATTTTAAAAATACCAAATCTAGCTATTATATTTTAAAACTAATAAATAAAAAATAATATTTCTTATTTTATTATTTTATAAATAAGAAATACTATTATATTAAATATAATTAAATATATTAGAAAATTTATAAAACTAGTAGCTATAGCTTATATAATAAATAAAATATTTAAGAAATTAGAAATACTAGCTCAGATATCTAATACTAATAAGATTATTTAATTTAAAAGTAATAATATTAATATTTGAATATTACTAGCTTATAAATATATTATATAATTTTTATATTTTTAATTTATATTTCGAGAATCTTAAGAAAATATTAAATATAAAAAAATAATTAATATTAGAATTAAAGTTAATATTTT